AAAAAAAAAACACAAATACATTTCAGTATCTTTTTCGTATACAACTCAATATAAGTTCAGTAATTCCCCCGATAAAGATTAATTTACAGCAATAAAACATCATTATTTGAAGTCTCCACCACAAGAGTAAGCCACATAACGTGTGCATTGCAGGTTAATACAAGAAAAAAATTAACACGTTTTCTTTGTCTATATAAACTTAAAAGGTTACTCCCTTTGGAATGCTTTATCAAAATTACATTTCATATTTCTAAAAATAAAGTGAACACATAAAAGTCACAGACTGATATACTGATATATTCTTTTTCCGAAAAAAAGTTACAAAAAGAGGATCGTCTACTGTAAACAACAACAAAATTTAATTCATATCAAGGGAAATTACCCAAAGAACACTAAGGTTGATGGTATACGAGAACTATTCACTTATATGGTAAATGTTTACTGTGTTGAACAGTTTTATCACAGCTTTTAACATACATGCCTTAATGACGCATTTGACAAGGTCTATACAAAACAAGGATGTACAAAACACTTATAAGTCTTTAACCTACATTTTCCTCAAGAAAGAATAAACCAACTTGATAGCCAAACAAACAAAATCAAGATAAATGATCTTTTTAAATGTTATTTAAAATTGTCCCATTAATACTAAACAAAAACATTGTGCATGTTACATACTTCTTTGATTGAAATCTATGATAACTGACCTTAAATCATTTAAATGAAATAGTTTTGTAAAACAAAACAAACCAAAACCTACAAAACAATATTTGAAACTTGTTATATCATTGTGATTTTGTCTAAAAAGACTGTTTTATGTTTAATATTTTCAAATTTGTATTATCTACAAGCACTGTATTTTTTTATTCCTTTCTTAAAATATTCAATTTTTTAATATAACATGAATATAAAAAAGAAGAACTATCAATGGAAACAGACAAATGCCCCAAACGATTATCTTCAGTTTAAAGTGGATACCAACACTTGTCACAAATAAGAAAAGTGAAAATATAACACTTTTCAATTATATCATTTATAGTGTATGTAGGTGTTGATAATGAATGTATCTTTTAAACTGAAAGTAAATCGACAAAGAAATAAGAAAGTTAAAAATACTGCCATCTACCATATTTCAAGTTTCATAAAAATATTTCCAGTACACCAATATTGTTATATTTGCGATAATTATCTTAAACATGTGTATTTGTTTCCTTAGCAACAAAATTTTTCAACATAGGAAGAAAAGTAAAAGTTATGCACAATACACAGACAGCCACCTACACATTTATTAAGTTTCATGAAATATTTTCAGTACTTTTTACATCATCATGGGATTCAGTTTTGTGGACGGACAGAAGACAGACTGATTGACAGACAGAAGGTAAACCGAAAGTCACCTCTGGTTAAACCTCAAACTAACGCATTAAGTGTACTGTATATTGGTTTTCTGATCAGTTGTAATATCATCTGTTGTAATATAATACTACCTGGTAAACCAATCTCTACAAGTTTATACAGGTTAAATACATAGCAGTGGATAGACGGGAAGTGATTTGTCAGATAAGAAACTAAAGAAGTCAATATTTTTAATATTCTAGCCAGCTGTATAAATACCTGGTGAGTCAATTTACTCAATATCTATGTTTAAAAATTAAATGAAATTTATCAAGTATTTTCATTACTTTAAATTGATTTAAATTTGCCCTACATTTTAAATAACCTTGAGAGAAATTTTCTGTACCCCACCCACAACTCTTACTAACTAAAATTCAATGGTTTCAATTTTATTTTGATGGTTTTAATGTGATAATATGATCTGCCTAAAATTTCTTTAAAGGGGAATGACAATAAGGTTACCTATACTTTCAAATGGAATGACCTGAAACACCTCAGACACTAAACTATAACAAAAAACTCATCTTGTACCTAGATTGCTCACCTAAGATATATTGCTAGGAAAGGTCACAATTATTATTTTTAATGTCAAAGTCAGGAATGACTTCATATTTCATCTGTTTTTTGTTTGTTTTTTATTGTTTTTTTTTTTCTCGATTTTTTCCCCTCTCTTTTTTTCCTAAAGCAGCATAATTCTTCAGATATATGTCTGCTATGAAATGCTTAATGACAAATATCTCAGCTTTTGGTCTTGATGATTCACACAAAAAAGTATTTTCCAATATATGTCTGTATAAATTTACAAATTAAAGACCCCCAGCCTGATTTAGTGCTAATTTTGACCCCATGGATAGTGAGCCATGCTACATGCCAAATATCTATGCTGAGTATAAAGAAACACTAATGGTAACTAGACCTATCACTAAAGGTGATAAATACACCAATCAGCAACCTTGACTTTTTGAAAAATAAGTGGCCTGAAGACAAATTTGAACTCAACCTATAATTCACAAAGTATCAACTTTGTAATTCTTAACAAATGTTATCCTCGCGAAACCATTTTTATATGTAAAGTATCAGTTACCCGTGATACTAAGGGTTCAAAAGCAAAGTCAGTCTAGGTCTTTTATAATGGTGATCTTAACCTTGACCTCAGGTGTTCAATTGCAGTACAAACCTAGGTCTTCATATTAGCTTACTAAATACCATGGCTCTTTCCTAACTCTAGTAATGGTCAGGAAACCATTTTCTATTTTAGTAATGGCGTTCTTAACCTAAGGATATCTAAATGCAATACCAACCCAGGTCTTCATATGAGCTCTCTAAATAGGTAGTTTGATTACAATATCTCAATCCTAACTCTTGTTATTGTCCGAAAACGATTTTTTTCTATTTTTTAGTAATGGCAATATTGACCTTGACCACAGGAGGTCCAAAAGGTATAAAATTGCCCTGGTTCTTCATGTAAGCTAACTATATACCAAGTTTAATCACATCACAGTTTCTCATTCTAAACTAGTAATTGTCTGAAACATTTTCTCTTTTTAGTAACAGTGACCTTGAACCCATGGGGGTCTAAATTCAATCCAAAACTGGATCTAAATATAAGCTTCCTTTATACCAAGTTTGATCAAAATATGTCATTCCTAAGTTCCTAACTCTAGGTATTGTCCGGAAACCATTTTTCTTTTTTAAGTAGTGATGACCTTCACCTCAGGGATCTTAATGCAATACTGAGACAAGGGTCTTCATATAAGTTTCCTATATACAGCAAGTTTGATCACAATATCTCATTCCTAACTTAAGGTATTGTCTGGAAACCTTTTTTTAGTTTTTAGTAACAGTGACCTTGATCATAAGGGGTCTTAAAGCAATTTCATTGACGGGGGTTTCCACTTGAAGTTGCTATATGCCATGTTTGATTACAATATCTCTTTCCATACTCTAGTTAGTGTCAGAAAATCATGAAACAGACCCACCAACAAACAACTATACTTCGTTTGTGGTAGTATAGTTAAGTATTAGAATTAAAATCAATGTTTTCGAATTGTCACAAGATATAGGAAAGAGGCACTTATGGTACTTAAGTATTACAATTAAAATCTTTGTTTTTTATTTTCTTAATGAGTAAAATTTATAATATCCAGTATTGAACATTTATTTATGTGTTTGCCATATGTATATTTATGTTTGTATTGTCAAAGGCAGATATCTGCCGAATTGCAAATAAAATGCTGACTAGACTTGATTAATAACTATCTATTCTAGGTTACATTATGGCTGTGCCTGGTAAAAGGTCATCCAAGAAACTATCATCTACACTATCTCGTGGGGGTGCTGAAGATTTTGACATATTCTGTGAACAATGTGACAGAGATGACATCAGACTACCTGCCTTTGGTTACTGTGTGGATTGTGAGGAACATTTATGTCAAACTTGCTTTAACACCCACAGACGACCAAAATCACTACGCCATCACCAACTTCTAGACAAAGATCACATGCCACATAAACAAAACATCCATAAATCAACTAAATCTACTTCAGGCCCACAGCATGGTGATTTATCAAAGCCTTGTACCAAACATACCAAAGAAGTGATCAAGTTCTACTGTCATGACCATAATACACTTATATGTAGTGTTTGTGTGACCCTTGAACACACACGAACATCCTGCCATGTGGACTACATACCTGACATATCAGTACAGACTTTAGACAGCATGGAGTTCAAAGAAACTCTAAAAGATATTAAAAAATTAACAGACAAATGCTGCCAGATCACAAAAGATCTGAAACTAAAAATTGCCAACTCAACAACTTCTGTGAAAGACACTATAGTAGAAATAGACAACTTTAGAAAAGAGATAAACAAAAGATTAGATGAACTAGAAAAGGAAGTTAAAGAGACTGCAACAAAAATCGAACATGAAAATCAAAGAAAGTTGAAAACAACAGAAACAACATGTGATAACATCAACAGATCACTCCAAGCATCAGCTGTTACTTTAAAAAGTCTCAACACCAACAAGAAAGCTGACCGACTGTTTACAGAATTAAAAATAGCTCAGCAATTGATATTACAAAATGAAAATATAACAACACAGCTTCAAACATTCAAAGATGTTAATGAATACACTTTTGAATCAAATCATGCAATTAAAAAACTCCTTCAGAATGAGAAATCATTGGGGACATTGAGAAAAAAGGAGCTGAAGCAACCAGCTGAACCAATAAATAAGGCTGCTGTACCAATGAAAATGTCTACCCCTAGAAACATCAATGTTAAAACATCCTCAGATAAAGATGATTGCTGGATTACTGGTATAACTGTCTCTCCTCAGAACCAATTATTTGTAGCAGATTACAATAATAACTCAATTAAAATGATAGACATAAAAAGTGGAGCAATCAAGCAACTACAGCTTGAATCAGACCCCTGGGATATCACCATGGTGACCAAAGATACACTTGCTCTTACATTACCAGGCATTCACACGATACAGTTCATTTCCTTCTCCTCAAACTCTCTCTCATTGAAAAACAAACTGAAAGTAGATGGATATTGCCGTGGAATAAGCCATCATCAGGGGAAACTTGCAGTTACCTTTGTATCTCCTGCTAAACTCCAAATCATGGACTTGAAAGGTAATATTAAAATTACAGTTGAGAAAGACTCCAATGGCGACAGTATTTTAAATAGACCTTGGTATGTCACCACAAACAGTCATTCAATCTATGTGTCTGATAACGACAAAACAGAAATCATATGGTTTAATTGGCAGGGAGAGATGATAGGAAGAAATGTAGACATTGGAAGCCCAAGGGGTATTTCACTGTTAGATGACGGGTCCTTCTTTGTGAGTGATTACATGACTAATTGTATATATAGAGTAAGTGGTGACTGTAAAGACAGGACAACTATACTGGAGAATGTAGAGTATCATCCTCAAGCTGTATGTTGGTGTGCTGAGACCAGAACACTTTATTTAAGTACATACAGAAAGAACACAGAGAGTAACAATATTATCAAAATATATGAAATGATGTAGAACCAAGCAATGGTAATCAATGCAGACATAATAAAAAATATTTATCATTACTTAAAGTTTTAATAATACACCCATAAGCAGTTCTCATTTTGTACATGTATATGTGCTAAATAGAAAATTGTATTTGTGTAGTTTCATTACTAATTTATCAAACTCCTTCAATGATATAATATTATGCTTGTCAGAGGCTTGTATGATATAAAAATTTCATTCAACTTCATCATTTAACTTACATGTACACTATTTCAATCACCTCTATATATTCTCTATACACATGCCATCTATGCAATATCATAAATTAAATTTTATACTATACATTTCTAATGACTTTATATCCATCTATATATAGTACAATATAAATCAGTAAAATATTATGATAACAAACATATGTTTATTTAATGTAATTTAATTATACCTCTACGGTTTCACCATATCAACAGGATAATGAAAATATAGATATGGAAAAAACGTCAATATATAGTGTGAGCTTATATCAATGTTTGTTTGCCATATAAACATTGTCTTATAGATTGGGTTATATAAGCATTTGAATTTTACTAGGTCATATACTCGGTCACAATATTTAAAACTAATATTGTACACCAAGCTGGGATGAACAACCAAGAAAGATAAGAGAAAGCATGCCACTACTTACCAAATTTGACAAATTCCCATGGAGAAAAATAATTAACTAGAAATGTGTCTATAAGACACGATTGCCCCCACACTCCACCGATTTGTCAATCTTATGTCTCTAGGTCAAATTTTTTTTTTGGCTACATGTGCCCTGAAGTTAAAAACTAAAAGTCTTTTATAAAGTAAAGGGCAAATACTACAAACACTGAAAAAATCCACAAGAAAAACCCACGGTGCATACGTACACATGCTGACCAACATTCTTGTAAACTTTCAAGCCTACAGGTCAAATATTTTTTGAGTTACGTGCAACACAAGTTGAATATTGTAAATTTTAACTAAGTCAAAGGCAGTAACTCTAAAAATACTAATAATATCAACTTGAAAATACCCAGGTGCAAAACTACACATGCTGAGCAACATTCCTGTAAGGTTTCATGACTCTAGGTCATATACTTATTTAGTAACGTGCGACACAAGTTGAAAATGGTAAATTTTTATTAATTCAAGGGTAAAACTCTAAAAATATATCCACACAAAATACCCAGATGAACAACTACACATAATGATCAACATTCCTGTAAGGTTTCATGACTCTAGGTCAAATATTTTTTGAGTAGCATTCGACACAAGTTGAAAATTGCAAATTTTTACTAAGTCAAGGGCAATAACTCTAAAAATACTAGATATATCCACATAAAATACCCAACATTCCTGTACGGTTTCATGACTCTAGGTCAATTACTTTTTAAGCTACATGCGACACAAAAAGAGAACGGACGGATGGACAGACGGATGGATGAACGGACAAGGGTAAATCTAAATGCCCCCCCCCATAGTGGGGCCACAAAAATGAAAAATAATTCTATGATATTCAAAGTCAGAACAATAAACAAATGGTATGAAACTTACAATATGATTTATAGTAGCTCTAATTACGTTGATTTTGTTTCTTTTCTTTTCTAATGTTTGTAAATATCTTCGGAACATACATGGTATAACTTCTGAGGACCTGAAAATGAAAATAGTTTCAAAATGAGATACTATAGGTGTAAAATTGTTTTTAACTTTTGTTGGATATAATGCAAATATGAGATATGGGGGATATTTGTTTATGTTGAATATGCACTAACTCTCACTAAGAAATTCATTTTTTTTAGTTACTGAGAATGACTGAAAAATATATAAAGAAAGAGTAATGGCAAAACCAGGTTTTAAAAAAAGCAGGGTCCAAGTTCTACAACATGAAAAAACTTTCATGTTTGACCATGCCATTAAATGATATTTTTTCAAGTTTTCTCACAGTAATTAATTTATATAAAGGTTTGGTAATAAATGTTGTTTTGTCTATGTATGAATTAAATCAAACTGCAAATAAAAGCAAAGTGTATTTGAGTTTATTAATACTCACCACCGGTTGCCTATATTGGTGAGTCCTCCAGAAGAGTATTAGTCATTTTATATTTTTGAGGATAGTGCAAGATACAGATACAGAGAGATGCCCCAATTCCAGAAGTTTCTCCTGGTTGCTTAGTGTGCCAAGTGTTTAAGCACTCATACAGGGGACCTTGATTTAAAGTCTCATCCGAAAGACTGATTAGTAATTTTAGTTGGCCAGCCCGAGAATCGAATCCACAATATTGAGATTACAAATCTCACGCTCTAACCAATTGAGCTATGCTGGCTGGCTCAAAGTAAAACAAGCAAATTTGTTGAATTTATATCCCCTGCGAGTACTGGTTATTACTTTCACAACAACTGGAGACATAAGGCTTTATTTTTATATTTATCATGGCATGCAAATTTCCGTTTGGTATTGATGGTTCCCATAAAGTCTTGTTGAAATCAATCTAGCAGTTGCAAAGAAAATGCTAAATTGCTCTTTATGTATACTGCACAACTAATCAAGGGCCATAACTCTGTCTTGAAGTTTCTGACCAAAAGAAGGCAACAATATGCGCACTCCCCTCAGTATTGATTGTTTCAAATTGTTTCATTGAATTCCAGCCAGTAGTTGCAGAGAAATATGGCAGAAACAATTATTGCTCTTTCTGCAAACTGAGACCTAATCAAGGGCCATAACTCTGTCTTGAGTAGCCTGACAAGAACAAGGTAGCAATATGCACATCTCCTCTTGGTATTGATGGCTCCCATAAAGTTTCATTGAATTACAGCGAAAAAGCCCAGAAACATTTATTGCTCTATATACACCCTGAATAACTAATAAAGGACCATAACTTTAGAAGGGTCACACCAGATCAAGGCGACAATATGCGTATCTCTTGTTGGTATTAATGGTTCCAAAAAAGTTTTGGCAAGAATTTCAGCCAGTAATTGCAGAGAAATAGCGCTGATGGGCGGAAGGACGGACAACGCCAAAACAGTATCCCCACTGGCAAGGGATAATATCTGGACCTTGGCACTCAAGATATTTTAAGGTCAAGGCAACACTTGAACAGTTAAACATATCAATTATCAATATATCCAAAGTGAAATCAGTATGTACATCAGCTTGCTACACACCAAGTTTGATTACAGTTTCTCATTCTTTAGATAGTGGTTGGCTGTAAACCATTTTTCTATTTCCAGAAACAGTTATGGCCATTTTTCTTTTACCAGAAACAGAGACATTGACACACTGATGCATGCCAAGTGAGGTCTCAACATAAACTTGCTACACCAAGTCTGATTACAATATCTCATTCCAAACTCAAGTAATTGACAGAAAACTGTTTTTTCAATTTTAGTTACAATCACCTTGACCCTAGGAAGCCCAAAAGCAATCACATGCAAGATCTTCACATAAGCTTGCTGTACACCAAGTTTGATTGCAAATATATAATCTGAACCAACTGTTTGACAAACGCCCAAATGCCATGTCATACCCAAATCTAACATTCAAGATTTTAAAATGTACAACAGCAAAATAAAGAGAACATTGACACTACCAAGAGATCTTGACAAGTCTAAATAAATAGTAACTTCAACTACTGTATGAGGGGTGTTGGAAAAGGATATATACGCTTATCTTAATCAAAAATTGAAACTGATACTAGATGTATAATGTTTATAATTCAACAGAAAAAATATACTTGTTGCAATAATGCATTATGGCAACATAGGGTTATGCTTAGCAATGCAAATCTGTAAGTCATAAAATACATCACATGTTAACATGTTAGTTAAAAGTCTGAAAAAAATGTTCCTAATGTCATAAACTGCCCAAATGTATATAAACTTTCTGCACATATTTGTCTTGATGTATGTATCTAAAAGCAACAGCTGAAAAATTCCCCCCCAAAAAAACCCATCAATTCTGTAAACAATTGAAGCTAAGAAACCTTGTTTTGTTGAAACTGTATATATGAGACAAAAACAGTCCCATTAAAGATCCTGTAACTAATTGTCCTATGGTTTTATATCATAAATATAATGCTCAAATAAAGATTAATCAATATTGTAAGTTCCAAAAAGCATTATTTGTAAAGATGTTACCAAATTTACATTTCATGTTAATAAAGGGAGGTAATTAAGAATTTTCTATAAAGTCTAAGTCAAATTTTTCAATAAGAAATGAATGCATATATTTTAATGATGACAATGGTGACATATAATGTAGACAAATATTTGCAGTACATATTTTACATATTCTTAAGTGTTTGAAAATCGTTTTAGAATTATAATTATATAAAACTGCACTTAAGTGTGGTAATAAGTTTAATTACAACATACATGATCTTTAAATAATTAAGTAATGACTGTTTGCCTGGGCAGCGTTTTACTAACATTGCGTAAGTTTTTTGTGAGTATTTTCGTAACTTTACCCTTGCGTTTAAACTTATGCAAATCGTAAGTGTGTTTCACAAAACATTTGTAAGTTTTTTTTTAAACTTCAATAAAAATGTTAAGCCACATTAACCTTTTCTTACATAGACTTTACTTTTCTAGAGCCGCTTTCACCATCTTAATATATTACCAATCACATCAGTCTCTAAAATTTTCGCTTTCCTGCTCTGCCATTATTCATAAATGATGTCAGTCTTACTTACATAAGTTTTAAGTCAACAAATTTTAAGCGTAACTTCAAAAACTAAAGAATAGCTTTCTTTACTTATTCCTAGCTTCATAAACTTAACTTCTGCAATCTGCACTATACATAAGTGCCATAACGTAACTCCAACTTCCTCAACTTTGCTTCTGCTTTATAAACTATAACTACTAATATAGTTAGAAGACTGACAAAACCAACATAGTGTGCTTGCGACCAGCATGGATCCAGACCAGCCTGCGCCTCTGCGCAATCTGATCAGGATCCATGCTGTTCGCTATCACTTTCTCTACTTGTAATAGGGTTTGTAAGCGAACAGCATGGATCCTGATCAGACTGCATGGATGCGCTGGCTTGTCTGGATCCATGCTGGTAGCAAACATACTATGATGGTTTTGTCATGGCGTGGCTCATTTAATTTTAAATCCCGTTCATGCTCAAAAGGTTAGCTTACTTATTATCTTTGAATGTCAGTATATGTCCAACTCTCAGAAACACTGAAACAAAATAACGAGAATCAAAAACACAACATTGTCTGATTGATATTGAAATTGATATTGAAATTAAAAATATATATTTATAAAATACACAGGCATACCATTATAAAAGTCAAGTTTGGGTCCAAACTCTCAAACCATGATATAAACAGGAATCTGACATATAAGGTTCATCAGTAGAGTGCTTAACACATCAGACTAGTAATCTGAGTATAGCCTAGTGCTCTCAGGACTGCTGGCCTTGTGGGTTCACATCCCAACAAGGGCAAGTCGTTGTTTCGATACATAATTGTAGTAATACCAAAGCTTTTTTTATAAAAACATTATGCATTCTGCACAAGTATTCACTTTAAGCACAGACAGGATAAACAAGTTGAACCATTTTCAATATGTGGCTTAAATAAAATTAATACTTGGAATAAAGTTTTAGGAGTGCAGAAATTTTAGAACTGTTTTATGTCAGTAGAAGTAACAATTATTTACTGAATAAGTGGATATTTCCGCGAAAAAGTTAGCAAATTTAAAATTCAAGACATTTTGTGCAAGGATATATAAGGAAAATGTGCAAGTGTAGAGATTATTGTAAGGTCGGTCAACATTTATACTTGAGAAAATTTTAGCGATTTTCTACCATTCGCAAAATTACCCAATATTTCTGTGTTGCTAACTTAACCACTTATACAGTAACGGACAAAACTATAAAGTTAATACTCCGGAAGCTTTATCATTAATGCTTACCAACTCCGCACATATACGCGTCAAAACCTGCTTCATGTGGTAACTCATCAGATTCTGAAGGAAAGCAACAAAATACGATACAAACATAACTACAATAAATAATTTGACAACTGGCATGATGAATGAAAGTCACTGTACATACAATACTAACAATTGCCAAAAGGTGTTATCCGAAACTCGTCAAATGTGGATCCCACTCCCCCATCTGATCATGAAGTACAAACAAACTTTTACATTTATAGCTTCCAAGTGCAGTATCTTTCATACTCAAATGTTGCATTTATATTTTTTTTTATATTTTTTTTATATATTTACAAAGTTGTTACTGTAAAAGTAGGTAAGATGGGAAAAACACACATTGTGTTTCTATTGCCATTCCATATAACAACATGCTAATTTTCAAAAACAAAAATTTCTAAATTTTTCAAAAACTTTTAACATGAGTGTAATTTAAATCATTTATTCAAACTGTCATGATGCATCAGTTTATCGTAACTCCACTCCTATACTAAGGAGAATATTTAAACTACTTGTAAACAAACCTCTGGAAAAAGACCATGTTATGTGAAGAAAGATGGTAAAATGGCAGCTAATTGTCCTGCGCAACCATTTAGACATATCCCCATCTATTTTCCCACATGACCAAAAATCTCTGCATGGATCTGGCCTTGGGGTGACAAGCTATAGAAGTAAAAACTTGAAACACTGGAGATGATTTCAGGAAGTGTTATACATGCAATTGACAACTTTATTTGTTTTCTAGTGTTTTAAGCCGATTTCAACATGTTTTGGCAATATCTCGCCAGTAAAACCTCCTAACCAATTTTTATGTATAACTAATCAGTAATTACCAATTTCTATAAAACTGACTGCTACATAGCCACCAGATTTCTGAGTCAGCAGTGACAGATAAATGACCAATTTAGCCGCAATGTCTATGATCAACTGTCACAGAGAAATTACGCCTCAACTAATGATCGGAGCAGCAATCTATGGATTACTTTTATAATCGAAATTAGCAGACAGACAAATTGTTTGGTTCATAAATAAATATATTTTATATACTCACTATATCTGTCAAATCCCTCGGCATGGTTAACTACAGGTGAATGTAACACTATGGTTTGTCCTTTCTCACTATAAATAACACATTAAAATAAAATAATTATGGCCAAAATCAATACATAGATAACCCTGAATATAGCGCTGTCCATCACTTCAAGATAAATAATAAGATGGGCTTAAGTAATCAATTGTTTAAAAATTGTATAAATTTTGTACCTTAACAAGAATTTTTCAACTAATGCAGGCTAGATGAAACATTATAACATCAATTAAAAGAAAAGATTGTTAAAACATAACCTGCTTTGTTTTTGTACGATTAAATCTGTTATAATGTCATAATGATGTTTTAGTCACAAAGATACTGCTAAGGTTATAAAATTATATGGCCAATTTCCACATCAACTAGTAAAGCAAGCTTTCATTAATGCTCCTCCGTGCATTATTAAAGACACAACCTGGCATCCGGTTGAACCACCGGCCTTCCATTATCAAGCACGATAGATTCTTTACATGAAAACAAGAATTGTTCACTAAAAATGAAACCTATAAAGAAATCAAAGATGATCAATATATTTACCTTTCTTAATCTGTATAAAGTTCACCTTTAGAAGCTTGTTTGTTGCAGCATCCAAGTCTGTGCCACATCATGTAAAATATATTATTCCACAAATCCTTATCCTTACAAAATATAACCAATGATTTTGCAGGGTTTGCAACACATGTTGTTTAAAAAGAAATCATTATTGAATCCAAACTTATCATCTTGCTCATGTTTTCATTTCCAAGTCCATATCAAATGCAGCATTTTCATTTGCAAATTCCAAAATGTCTATATTAAATGAGCATGATACTCCATCTGTTTTGTCGATTTGTTGAAGTTTATTGTGGTAATCTTCATTGATCAGGGTTCATTAGTTGTAATGAGTGTTTTTGTTGTTGCATTACATTTGGTTGTTGAATTATATCTGTGTGGTAAGAAGTATTATAGAATATAGAAGTATCATAGAATGAAACATTTTCCGGATGAGCATGCCCCCGTTCCCCCTAGAACCCACCAAATTGGCTGCAGTAACCACAAAATCGTGAAGACGGCCTGCTTTAATTACAGGCGGATGTTGTATACTATGCCATTTTGATGAAATAAGAGAGAAGATTGAAAAGATTGAGACACTTGATGGACATGTTAACAATGCCGCTTTCTCGGATGAAGCTACGCTTTCCTCTCTTGAAGTTTCAAATAAATATTTTCAGAAAATATTTGCCGCGAATCTTTTCAAGAGTATTAATGCAACTCAAATCGTTGCAAAGAAAATGATAGCAGAATTCAATCGTTAACGTATCCAGCATATTTTCGAATTTGTTGTAAACAGCTCAAATTGCGACTTTTCCATTACAGACCAATATTTCCTTACACATGCTTTTATTTCTCAAATTTATATAAACAGAATCATTGAAATTCTTTAATAGTTATTCTGATGAAACTAAAAATGTCACTTCAAGCTATGAAAAACTTAGTGGAGCCCATGGTATGCTCATCCCAGTGATTCAAACAATTTTATAGATTCATTAAAAAGTAATATTGTAGGGTTGGTACCCCCATATAAATCTCAAAATTGAAAGCATCGGAAAATATAAATGTGAATTTCCGCTGATCCAGATGTGCGTTATAACGATATGTGAAGGCGACGATTTGTGAAGGAGAAAATAAGTCAATCGCAGAGAAAGTTTTCCACTTTAATGTTTGAACATTTATATGAAATTTAAAAGCTTTTTTTAAGTACATGTAAATCCAAATTATATTCTACCCTCCTAACTTTTGTTTAAATATTTACCCATATTTTTTCTGGATTTTTATGCAGTTTATCGTGCGTATGAGGATAATGTCCATAAACGAACTCAAAATACAGTTTTAACAAAAGTTTACCACCAAACAATGATTAACATTCAAACAAACTCTTTTTGAAACATATTTTTACCGACGCTCAATTTGGGATCCATATATGGGGTAATATATTTCCCAATATTATTCTATACATAAGTGACCCTTTGGGTGGGGTCAGTTTTGACCACAGCGCATAACTAGTATAACCACAGAGCTTTATTTAAACAAGAGGGCCATGATGGCCCTGAGGTCGCTCACCTGTATATAGGCCCCCCACCCCCGGGCCAATTTTTACCCAAGGGCTTTTATTTGTTTATTTGAACAGACTTGGTAGACACCCATAAGAAGATGTTTCATGCTAAACATCTAAGTTCTAGCTCATTGGCATTTTTAAAAAAAGATTTTTAAAGTTTTTACTATATACATATAGTTAAAAACAATGTCACCCCTGGGGCAGGGCCAGTTTTGACCCCCGGGCGTTTATTTTAACAAACTTTGTAGATATTAACTTAAAGATGTTTCATGCTTAATATCTAAACTCTAGCTATTTGGGTTTTTCCAAAGAAGATTTTTAAGTTTTTGCTATACACATAAAAGGAAAATCAATGACCCCCCCCCCCGGGCGGGGCCAGTTTTTACCCCAGGGCTTTTATTTGAACATACTTGGTAGACATCCATTAGAACATGTTTCATGCTAAATATCTTAGCTCTAGCTCTTTGAGTTCTTTAAAAGAAGATTTTTTAAGTTTTTACTATATGCATATAGGGAAAATCAATGACCCCCTGGGGCGGGGCCAATTTTGACCCCAGAGCTTTTATTTGAACAAACTTGGTAGACACTCATTAGAAGATGTTTCATGCTAAATATCTTAGCTCTAGCTCTTTGGGTTCTTTAAAAGAAGATTTTTTAAGTTTTTACTATATGCATATAGGGAAAATCTATGACCCCCTGGGGCAGGGTCAATTTTGACCCCAGGGCTTTTATTTGAACAAACTTGGTAGACATTCACTAGAAGATGTTTCATGCCAAATATCTAAGCTCTAGCTCTTATGGTTCTTTAAAAGAAGATTTTTTAAGTTTTTACTATATGCATATAGGGAAAATCAATGACCCCCAGGGCGGGGCCAATTTTGACCCCAGGGCTTTTATTTGAACAAACTTGGTAGACACTCACAAGAAGATGTTTCATGTCAAATATCTAAGCTCTAGCTCTTATGGTTTTTTAAAAGAAGATATTTAAAGTTTTTTTTCTTTTGGTTGCCATGGCAACCAGAGTTCTGCATGGAATTAAATTCCTTGAACAATTTTTAAAGGTGACCACCAAAGGAACATTCCTGTGAAGTTTGGATGAAATTGGCTCAGTGGTTTATGAGGAGATGTCATTTAAAGCAAAAGTTTACGGACGGACGGACGACGGACGCCGGACGAAAAGCGATCACAAAAGCTCACCCTGTCACTTTGTGACAGGTGAGCTAATAAAAAGCTTTGGTATAACATAGGTTATAGGCATTTTGCTGGGTGGAGCTTGCCTCTTTTTAAGGTATATAATGGAAACAGCGGGAGAAACAATTAAAGTATTAAGTTTTGGGAGTACTGTCTTTTTGGAAGATTTTAGTATCATTTTTTTATCTAATTTTACGGTTGTAATTTCAAATCGTTAAAATTTCAACAAATGATGTCAATAAAATAAGGCATTTTAAATCAAACAGGTGTTTACTTGAAATCTTTGATGACCATACAAGGTATCTAAGATGGCAACGCACTTTTTTTAAAGAAAATATCTGACAAAATGCATAAACTTTAATTTTGCACCCCCATTCCCCGAATCTCCTATCCCCTTCCTCTGTGCCCTTTTACTTAGTGGGCCTATTAATCAATTATTTATTTGTTTTTTTTTTATTTTGATTTCCTTTTAGGTTACTATTATTTCTTCTTATGTATCATTTTAGTGATAAGCCTGTCTGTGCTCTGCCTTACAACATGTCCTGTTTCTGTTTTTGTTTGGGTCCTTCTGGGCTACTTGCCGCTGGTTCGTATGGGGGTTGCGTTCATTGGACGCCGCCTTTCCTTGTTGATCTTGTTTATCATATTCTACGCCGTCGATGGCAATTCTCCTCTTAAGTACATTTACCCTGTAACACTTTAAACGATAAACACCATGGAGTGGTGTAAAGAAAGAACATAATGAAAGAGATATTGAATTTTATTCAAAAAAGAAGAAAATAAAATTTCTAAAAACCGGTAACAACAAAAAGTTAAAAACAAATTTCTTTACTTTATGTTCATAAACTATTTCAATGATTTGATCAACATATTTTATTAATCAAAGCCTGCTACCACGGCTTGACACTGCAAAAACATTTATTCATTCTTGTGTGTCATACTAGCTACAATATGTCACTTTCTTAAGCAATCAAACTATTTACTCATTAAAGTATTTCAGTCTTGAGTTTTTCTGAATAAATTTGTTGTACAAATAGGACACAGATGCCTCCACATTCCACTATTTTGTCAGTCTTCTGACGTCGACAAGACAGAAGGACATGGTGACAAAGAAAATTGTGCATGACTTTACTTCCCCTAATCCGAATTGGTTTGGACATTTGATTTACGCCTAATGTTTCCAAAGCTGACATTTTGCTTTTTTTCCAATTGTGAGCTTTAAGAATTTGAACTGTAACTGTATTTTTCATATCCTGTCACGCAAGTTTCCTCAAGTAAAATAAGTTTGTCAGAAAATCTCAAACTTTTCCCCCTCTTTTTTGTAAATTTAGTCTCTTTTATGTTAAATTTAATTCAATCTTTACTGTCAATTCCAAACTTTTATATGAATTCAAGTCTTTTCCTTTAATTAAGTCTCTTTTGGGTCATGTTTTTTTATCACCAGTCAATAAGGCAACAACACAAGCACTTCCTGATAGCAAAACTCCTGTCCTAAAATATAGCAAAAGAAGTATTAGATCTAGTATTTTCCTTTCATGTTTGCTATAGGCTAAAGCATTTGCATTTTCAATACATTTTTTGTCCTTAATATTTCATGAAAATTCAATTTCTTCAAAAAAACAGGAAATAGAAAAACATATATAGCCTGGATAATCGACATACTTATAACTTAAAGTTTCCACTATGTATTCATCGAGTCAAAAATATGAGTTTTGGCAAGTAAATATATTACTATTACCATTGTATTAAATTTTGTGGTGAACCCATTCAAAAATACATGTAAGGAAAGTGGCGGCATGGCCGAGTGGTTCACGCCTCGGACTAGTAATCTTATGATCGCTAGACGCATGGGTTCAAACCCCATCAGGGGGCAAGTCGTTGTTTCCATCAGCAAGAAATTTTACACTCATAGTTCAGTACTGATTGTTTCCAGGAACGGATTGGAAAGTGTGTCTATATGCTTATAGCTTCCTACACAATTGAACTGAAATAAATTCTGTATAAACCAAATACATGTAGTTGATTTACATTGTAATTCGAAACAAGTTGGTAATATGTCTCAATAATACATAGTTGGAGTATTTATATATCAAAGTTTTCATTTAAATGTCTTATTTATGTAAAACAAATAGTTTAAACACTGTTATATACTAAATCAGAAATAGCAATTACAAATGAAAGATTTCTTAATGATCCAAAGTAAAGTAATACGCTATCATTAGAAAATAGAAGTCGATGTAATAACAATAATTTCTATGAAACAATAATTTGTTGAAGTAATACATTTAAAATATGGCTGAAAATGGAGGACATTGGATGGATTTCCAATCCGAACCTCAACATATTGTATGACACAAATCCAGCATTCTAGTTAATACCTTGTGAAAACTAAACTTACCACAAAAGTCCCCTGGCAATTGGTGAGTGTTTCCATACACTATAATATGTCACATAGATTGTGTTGTGCTGTTTAAATGCTCGCAAAATATCTTTGGCACTGTAATAATAATAATAAAATACAAACATATTTAAACTGCATAAAATTTACTATGATATAACATTAATTAAAGAAAAAGAGCTACAGTTACTTTTCAAAAGAAAACCATTTCAGTCACTTTCATTAAGAATTTCACATAAATCCACTTAAGTTAACAACCCTTAGACATTACAGTTTAAATAAGTTATAACCTTAAACATGTGTACCCTGAAATATAATGTTTTACAAACAATAAATAAAACATATGCTTCATGAAACACAAATCAAGTTTTTTAAACAATTGTTATTAGGGGCTTTGAAGCGAATTAGATTTAAGGTCTCGCTTTCAATATTAAGGTAATATGGATAACTATTCAGCTTTTAAAATGCCTAAGAAAGCCCTGAGAAGTCCCTGGTAAGAAGCAAGGAAACCTAGTCAGTGTACTGTATTAAGTATTCAAGAAAGTGAACTCTTCTGCTCTTATATATTGAAACATGCGTACATAAGTTGTCATTCTTTGATACTCTTTAGTTTGGAGATTTGGTTCGTAGATGGTGTTATTTCAGAGTAATACAATAAAATAAATGAATTAAAGTGCTTTGTTATACATTACTTTTGAGATTTTCAGTAATTATCAAAAGTTAATTTTAAATGGGCTTTAAATAGTGTGTTATAGATTGATGTTTCATAATATCTGTTCTTCTGTTTCAATTTCTCAGTCAAACAGTCTACTGTTCTCATATCTAACCAACATTATGTTATGTGTAGACAAAATATAATTTTTTATTATAAATTTACCAATATTTTTATTTTTCGGTGGGTTTTCAATTCCCCACATATAGATTTTGTCACATAATGCACATTTTCATGCTTTAGGAAGCACCTGAAGTTTACTTCAAAATAATTATATTTATTTGAGTGTTATTTTGCATACAGACTTACAGTATATTATTTTTTAACACTAAATATTATAGTTATTCAGATATCAGGATTTTGTAAAGGGCACAAAAAATAAACAAGAGGGCCATGATGGCCCTGAATTCGCTCACCTGTATATAGACCCCTGGGCCAAGGCCAATTTTAAACCAGGGGCTTTTATTTGAACAAACTTGGTAAAAACCCATTAGAAGATGTTTACTACATATACATATAGGGAAAAATTTTGACCCCAGGGCTTTTATTTCAACAAACTTGGTAGACACTCACTAGAAGATATTTCATGCTTAGTATCTAAACTCTAGCTCTTTTTTATTAGAATTTTTTTAAAGTTTTTACTATATACATATAAGAGAAATCAATGACCCCCGAGGCAGGGCCAATTTTTACCCAAGGGCCCTTTTTGGAACAGACTTGGTAGACACTCATTAGAAGATGTTTCATGATAGAGAAAAACCATGACCCCCTGGGGCAGGGCTAATTTTTACCCCAGGGCTTTTATTTGAACAAAATTGGTAGATACCTACTAGAAGATGTTTCATGCTTAATATCTAACTAGCTATTTTGGTTTTTTAAAAAGAAGTTTTTTTTTACATTTTTAATATATACAAATAAGGAAAATGGGTCAAAGACAGAAAAAGCCGGGTTGCATTTGTATACCAAAAATCATGATTCTGTGATGTTAAGAATAAAATTTACCACTGACCATTAATGTCGAAAATTTAACTAAGCCAGTTAACAGAAAAAGGATGAGCAGCAGACCGAAATAAAATCCCAAGGTATGGAACTACATTTCAGTGCTGTATGCCAAATATCAAGAGGCTGTGATAAGTAGTTGCTCAGAAAAGTATTACGAAAATTTCCTACCATTGACCATTAATGTCGAAAATTTAACTAAGTCAGTAAACAGGAAGTGGATAAGCAACAAACATGAAATCCCATATTATGAGACCATGTGCAAATGCTGTATGCAAAATATGAAAAGGCTGTGATAAGTAGTTGCTGAGAAAACTGTTGCGAAAATTACCTACCATTGAATGACCATTCATGTCGAAAATTTAACTAAGTCAGTAGAAGGAAGTGGATTAGCAACAGACCTGACATCGGCTCCCACAGTATGGGGCCACATGTAAATGCTGTATGCCAAATATCAAGAGGCTGTGATAAGTAGTTGCTGAGAAAACTATTACGAAAATTTCCTACCACTGACCATTAATTTAACTAAGTTGATAAACAGGAAGTGGATGAGTGACAGACCTGAAATAAAATCCAACAGTATGGGATCACTTGTCAATGCTGTATGACAAATATCAAGAGGCTGTGATAAATAGTTCCTGAGAAAACTGTTACGAAAATTTCCTACCACTGACCATTATTGTCGAAAATTTAGTAAGTAGATAAATAGGAAGTGGATGAGCGACAGATCTGAAATCGAATCCCACAGCATGGGGCCACTTGTCAATGTTGTATGCCATATATCAAGAGGCTGTGATTAGTAGTTGCTGAGAAAACCGTTACGAAAATTTCCTACCACTGACCATAAATTATCGAAAATTTAAATTTCCTACCACTGACCATAAATGTCGAAAATTTAACTAAGTCGATAAACATGAAGTGGATGAGCGACAGACCTTTAATCGAATCTCACGGTATGAGACCACATGTGAATGCTGTATGCCAAATATCAAGAGGCCATTAATGTCGAAAATTTAACTAAGTCAGTAAACAGGAAGTGGATAAGCAACAAAACTGAAATCCCATATTATGGGACCATGTGCAAATGCTGTATGCCAAATATCAAGAGGCTGTGATAACTGATAAGTAGTTCCTGAGAAAACTGTTGCGAAAATTTCCTACCATTGACCATTAATGTCAAAAATTTAACTAAGTCGATTAACAGGAAGTGGATGAGCGACAGACCTTAAATCTAATCTCACGGTATGAGACCACATGTGAATGCTGTATGCCAAATATCAAGAGGCTGTGATAAGTAGTTCCTGAGAAAACTGTTACGAAAATTTCCTACCATTGACCATTAATGTCAAAAATTTAACTAAGTCGATTAACAGGAAGTGGATGAGCGACAGACCTGAAATCGAATCCCACTGTATGGGATCACCTGTCAATGCTGTATGCCAAATATCAAGAGGCTGTGATAAGTAGTTGCTTAGAAAACTTTTACGAAGTGTTTTTCCCCGCCCATACGCCGCCCACCGCCGGCCTGCCGCCCGACATTCACCATACCATAACCCCGGTTTGCACCAGTGCAACCCAGCCAAATATCAATGACCCCCTATGGCAGGACTAATTTTTACCCCAGGGCTTTTATATGAACAAACTTGGTAGACACCCACTAGAAGATGTTTCATGCTTAATATCTCAGCTCTAGCTATTTTATAAGAAGAATTTTAAAGTTCTTATTATGAACAAATAAGTTAAAGGGCGGGGCCAATTGTACCCCAGGGCATTTATTTGAACAAACTTGGTAGACACTGACTTGATGACGTTGCATGCTACATATTTAAGCTCTAGCTCTTTCGGTTTTCTAAAAGAAGATATTTTAAGTTTTTTCTTTCGGTTGCCATGGCAACCAGAGTTCTGCTTGGAATTAAATTCTTTGAATAGTTTTTAAAGTTGACTACTAAAGGAACATTCCTGTGAAGTTTGGATGAAATTGGCTTAGTGCTTTATGAGGAGGTGTCGTTTAAAGTAAAAGTTTACGTACGGACACCGGATCACAAAAGCTCACCATGTCACTTGTGACCGGTGAGCTAAAAACAGATTAAAATGTCTTACCAGTAGTGATTTGATGTAGCAACCAATGCTTTATTTTGGCCATATGCTTTCACATCCACATTACCATAGGGGGAGAACCACTTTGCTAACTGTAACAATACAATAAGTAACATAAAATTACTCTTTATACAGCTACAATTCTATATTATAAACACGGTCTTCATAATCTCTACATTTTCCCACTTCTGTCCACAAGCTTAGCTTAACATTGAGCACATAGGATTTGTAATCTAGGTGTTGCCTGGTTGATCCTCAGATTAGGCTTAATTTCTCTATGACAACTTAATTGACATTCAGTCTGAACTCTGACATTAAGTCTAATATTTGTGTGCAGCAACTTGATGACAAAGTTACACAAACCTAACCAAATAATATATGAAGAAATTTTATTAATCATGTAGGCCTACTTAACTGACATTCAGTCTGAACTCTGACATTAAGTCTAATAGTCAACTATGTCTTACAGCTGATTAAAGGGACTCCACTGAGGTTTTTTGACATGACGGGACTTGAAATAAATTTTCGAGATCATTTGTTGTGGGTCTAGACAAATAACTCATGTGCAGATCATTTGCTTACTCTGTTTTATCAGAATAAGTATTCTTATTGTATAAACACTTATAATTGAAAAGCGATGCAACGCTTTTCGCCTGAATCGGGCTAACAATAGTATAAGAATACAGTTTGCAATTTATTTCTCAGAATATTTCTGAATTATTTTTAGAATATCATTCTGTTAAAGTGCCCTAGCTGATCTATCAAGAAAACAAATCCTACAAAGAACACATTCTATTCCATAAGTCCCCTACCGGTTAGAACCCCAGCAACATTCTGATGGGCAATTGGCCATTCAATTTTACCAGTGAATGAATGACATGAATGAACTTAAATCTTTTGAGTTCTAAGTTTGTCTATATCACAGTAATGTGTTAAGTTTCCCTGCCTAGTAAGGAAATTATATTTATACAACCTTGTCATATTATTACGATGTGGGATTTTAAAGTAAATCCTTTAAGGAATGAAGAAGTTCCCGAAAAAAATCTAAGTTCAAGGGGGACATAATTCTGGAAATAGTCTTGCTAGAGTATTTAACCTTCTCAAAAATGTTGAGTGATAATAAGAAACATATATATGAAGTTTGAAGTAGATACATTAGGAAATAAAGAAGTTATTTTTAAAAAAGACAACATTTTTTTTTCGTAAAAATTCTAAGTCCAAGGAGGTAATACTGAAAAGTTTTTGGTGCTAGAGTTGTAAACCTTGTCACATATGATGTGGTTGATGACTGTAAACCTTGTCACATATGATGTGGTTGATGACCAGAAACTTATATTTAAAGTTTGAAGTAAACAAAGAACTTATAGTGAAAAAGCTGAAAAATTTAAATCAGAAATCTTGAAATTCAGGCTATTTGTTGCCATAGCAACCAGAATTTTCAACATAGGAAGAAAAGAAAAAGGAGTGCAAATTAATCTTCAGACTGCCATCTACCCATATTTCAAGTTTCATAAAAATATATTCAGTTCTTTTTGAGTTATCACTGGATCCAGTTTATGTGTTAAATTTGCCATATTTTCAGACTATTTGTTGCCATAGCAACCAGAATTTTCAACATAGGAAGAAAAAAAGACGTGCATAATCTCCATACTGCCATCTATCCATATATCAAGTTTCATAAAAATATTTTCAGTGCTTTTTGTGTTATCGAGGAATCCAGTTTTGTGGACGGACTGACAGACTTTTCTCACAGGACAGTTACTATGTGGCTACTCTATTGTTCTCTCTATTGTTCTTTTTAGCCACACAAAAGAAAATAGCCACATAAAAGCATTACGGAATGAATGACTTCAAAGAGAAAGAACAGTTACCAATTTCCCTCTAGCCACATAATTACTTTCCTGTGAGTGCGGACGGACAGACGGACGGAGGGTTAACCTAAAGTCCCCTCCGGTTAAACCGGTAGAGGACTAAAAAGTTCTACAACTTTTTTTACTCATATTGGGCTAAAAATTGAATAAAAATTGATGTTTAATTTCATTCTGAGAATTTTTTATTATTATCCTTGCAGTGTTTTTTTTTTTCATTTTTAGTGCTTTAAATTGCTCTGTATGAGCTCCTTTAAAAGTCACCATCGGCATGTGCATGTACAATAAAATCACATGAAACAGTTTATATTGTAAAATTTCAAGTGTGAATTTACTTGAGCAAATGAATGACTGAGATAACTTTACAGTATGTTACAGTAAAACATTACCTTTAATTGTGACCGGTAGCTATTCTAGCTATTCCCCGACACTTAACTTATTTGAATACATTAACAAGTTAATAAAACTATTTATCGAATTGAAATACTCCAAGTGACCATTGATTGGACACTGTAAGATTGCATGGCAACTATCCAAGAATAATGGTTGAGACAGACCTAATATAATTTCAAGCAAAAAACAGTCACCTAACTTAAGTCACTGACCATTGGAATCACGTTTTTGTTCCACAGGTCACTAATGAAAAAGGAAATCATGCAAAATGCACAATATTCGTTTAAAGGGATTCCACTGAGGTTTTTTTGACATGATGGGAATGAAAATATTTTTTCAGATAAACGTACCATTTGATGTAGGTTTAGACCATTAATCTTTGTGCAAAATTTCAGATCATTCACGCACTTCGTTTTTTCCAGAATGATTATTCAAATTGTAAAAAAATGACCCAAAATGAAAAGCGTTTAAATGCTTTTCACTCAAATTGGGCTAAGAAACGCATATAAATACGATTTTGCAATTTATTTCAAAGTATATTTATTAACTATCTTTGCATATATTTCCGTTTAAAATGCCCCGCTCATTGTCAAGTTTTGGTTTCACTTATGAGATTTTTATCGATATTCTGAGCAGTATTTGTGATTGTAAGTTAAGAATCGCTGTACTCCTGGACTTGCTGCAGTATTGGACTTGCTGCAGTATTGGACTTGCTGCACTATTGGACTTGCTGCAGTATTGGACTTGCTGCACTATTGGACTTGCTGCACTATTGGACTTGCTGCACTATTGGACTAGCTACGCTTCTTAGACTTGCTGCGCTTTTTGGACTTGCTGCACGTTAATACTTGCTGCGCTTCTTGGACTTGCTGCACTCTATTAGACTTGCTGCGCTTCTTAGACTTGCTGCACTTCTTGGACTTGCTTCACTATTAGTCTTGCTGCGCTTCTTGGACTTGCTGCGCTCCTTGGACTTGCTGCGCTTCTTGGACTTGCTGCACTATTTGACTTGCTGCGCTTTTTGGACTTGCTGCGCTTCTTAGACTTGTTGCGTTCCTTGGACTTGCTGCGCTCCTTGGACTTGCTGCGCTTCTTAGACTTGCTGCGCTTCTTAGACTTGCTGCGCTCTTTGGACTTGCTGCGCTTCTTGGACTTGCTGCGCTTCTTGGACTTGCTTCTTTTCTGGGAAGCGGACCGTTCTTAGACTTGCTTCTTTACTGGGAAGCGGACCGTTCTTAGACTTGCTTCTTTACTGGGAAGCGGACCGTTCTTAGAGTTGCTTCTTTACTGGGAAGCGGACCGTTGCTAAGGCTCAACTCTTCACTAGAAAGCCGACCGTTTTCTTGACTTGCTGCTTTATTCGGTTCCCTCACTGGACCTGCTCACCAACAAGGAGACTTGCTGAAAATTAAGCTTTCCGACAATATGTATAAAGCCTCTTTCGAAATCAAATTTTTTTTCTTCTTTTTTATTTCCAATTTCATTTCATATAAATACACAACGCGCGAACCGGATAGAACGCCACAATTGTGACGTCACGTCAAAACAATAAATAATACAAAATGGCGGACATTTGTGTTTCTTTTCATAAATAAAATGGCTATTTTGACAACAGCCCTCTTCAAAAGGAAATATTAAATATTTCCATCAAATGTCAAAATAACATTCTTTTTTATTCATCTGTTTCTTGATACTGTCTGCTTAGGTAGTCTGCAAAGATATTGTCGGATCCTTTGATGGCTTCAATACGGAACTGGTATGATTGAAGAAATAAGGCCCACCTCACTAATCGACCGTTGTCTGGTGTACTTTTCGGATGTACGACAATGAACTGTGGTCCGTTTGTATGATGAACTCTTTCCCATACAAGTATTTTTGGGAACTTCTTTATTCCATATACGATTGCTAGACACTCTCTTTCTCCTACAGAATAGTTCCTTTCACGATCAAGTAGCTTCTTGCTTGCAAAGGCAATAGGAAACAACTCTCCCTCATATCTCTGAAGCAATGCCGAACCTATCCCAGCATTCGAGGCATCACACTGTAAAATGAATTCTTTCGAAAAAATCAGGCAGTCGAAGAATTGGACTCTTGGTTAGTTGCTCCTTTAAAGTATTAAAAGCTCTTTCTTGCTCATCTCCCCATCGTACATTGTTTGGTAAACCCTTCTTCGTTAAGTCTGTGAGAGGTGCCGCAATTCTCAGCAAACGATGGTTATAAATCTCCTGTAATATCCGGCAAGTCCTAAGAATGCTCTAACTTGTCTTTTAGTCTTTGGCACTTCCGCTTCTTTTGATTCTTGTCAGTTTTTTTCCCCTTCCATTTGAACTATGCCATTTCCCACCATATGTCCTGTAAAACCAATGTTGTTATATCCTATATAACACTTCGATGGCTTTATGGTAAGCTCTGCTTCTGCCAACTTTTGGGAGGAGGTCCCCGCAGCATTGTCATTATGTTCTGTCCAGGTTGTTGTATGCCCTATCATATCGTCAACATAATTGTCAACAAAATCACACCCTGCCAATAACTTCCGCATCATTCTGTTGAATGTGGCTCCAGAGTTAACCATACCGAAAGGCATTTTCTTGAATTGATAACTCCCTCTATCCGTTGCAAATGCTGTAAATCTGCGGCAATTTTCAGCAACTGGGATTTGCCAATAACCTTTGCATAAGTCGATCTTGGTAAAATACTTAGCATCTTTCAGCTTTGCCATGATGTCATCTACGCTTGCCATTGGTTCGGTGTCAAATTTTCGTGACGGCATTCAGTCTTCTAAAATCAATACAAAATCGATTACTCCCATCTTCTTCTTGACAATGACTATCGGTGCGTTGTATTCCGACACAGATGGTTCAATCACATCAGCCTTTATCATATCTTGTATTTCATTTTCAACAGCTTGTCTCTTGGCATATGGAATGGGGTACTGTTTCACTCTCACGGGATTCTTGTCTGTAAGTTCAACGTGGTGCTCTATCAGTGGAGTTGTTCCTGGTCGCTCTGAAAAACACTTCGTAAAACTCTTGAAGTATGGCAAGGACTTGCTTCCTCTGTTCAGGAGTAAGTCCCTCACTGATATTGACATCTTGGTATGTCTCTCCACTTGTGTAGTTAGGGAAGTCCAGGAGACTTTCGTCGTCCACCGCTCCATCTGAATTATCATCAACGTCTTCTATGATCGCTACACTTGCTGCCAATCTTATCTTGGCGCTCTTCATATTTCTTCAGCAAATTAATGTGGAACGTCTTCAGCTTGTCTCCAATCTTGATTCTGTAATCAAATTTATTCATTACTTCGACAACTTGAAAAGGTCCTTTCCATTGCAGCATCATCTTATTATTATCCGTGGGAAGAAGCAGTAACACTTTATCTCCTACTCGCAAAACTCTATTTCGGGCTCTCTTGTCGTAGTGATGCTTGTATGTATTCTTTGCTTTCATCAGGCTTTCTCTGGCTATCTTGCATGTCTCCTCTAAGCGCTGCTTCAGGTTGAGCACATACAGGTATGTATTCTGTATCTCTGGATCATCTCTTTGAGTCCACATGTCCCTTAGTATTTTGCATTGGCCCTTTAAAACTGTTCTTCCGTACAGCAACTCAAACGGGGAAAATCCTGTACTCGCCTGTGGTACCTCTCTGTATGCAAATAATACGGCCGGTAGGTATCTATCCCAGTCCTTCGGTCTTTCCTGGCACATTTTCCGCAGCATACTTTTTAAGCACTCCATTCATCCGCTCACACAAGCCGTTGCACTTTGGATTGTAAGGTGTTGTGAAGAGTTGCTTCACAGATATGAGTCGGCATATCTCTTTCATGAGGTCTGCTGTAAATTGACTTCCTCTGTCACTTAGAACTTCTGAAGGAAATCCTACCCTTGAATATATTTCAAGCAGTGCTTCAGCAAATGCTCTCGGTGTCTATTTTTCGCCAATGGCACGGCTTCAGGGTTACGTGTGGCAAAATCCACCACCGTCAAGATATATCTGTTGCCCTTCTCCGACACTGGTATAATCGGTCCTATCAAGTCTATTGCTACTCGCATGAAATGGTTCCTCAATCACCGGCATGTCTCCTAGGGGGACCTTCTTCACTCGCCCTTTTGGGATGGTCTTCTGGCACACGTCACACGATCTGCAAAAAAACGTCCCACATCTCCCGTTATTCCTGGCCAATGGAAAGCTTGTCAGGATTCTGTCCTCTGTCTTTTTAGATGACAAATGTCCACCAACAATGGATTCATGGGCAAGTTCCATCACTCTCTTCCTAAAGTCTGTCGGAAACAACAATCTGCTTGGAGTCATCACCATTTTTCTGAAAGTAGGCTCTAAAAAGCACACCGTTTTTCCACCACGTATTTAAACTTGGGCCCACCTTTTGGTTTGCAAGCTTCTTTGCCTTCTCTGCTAAGTCCCAAACTTTTTTAATGAAGAGTCACCTTTCTGGGATTCCTTCAATTTCTCTATGTCAACTTCAGCTTCGCAGGAAGGTTTTTGAAACAGTCAACGCTCTAGTTGGACGGTTCTGCTCTCTGATGCTGCTGCTCTTGTCATGACTGCTGCAACAGCCGATGGTTCTTCTGTCTCCTTCCATTCAGGATTTTGGCTTATCAAGTACTCCGGCAACGTAACCAATCACTAAATCGCATATTAATGACTTAAGCACCATTGCCTCTAACTCCCCAACATAGTATGGCGTATCTACCCATATTTTTCGCCAAAGGTACTACTTTGGCATCTCCATCAATTGTTATTCATAACAATTTCTTTACCCCGTGAGTTGTTCTTCTTTCACAAACTTCTTCTTTACCGCCGCTAACTCACATCCAGTACTCTCAGCACTCTAACTGCATACTGCTCCAACAAAGCCCTTTTTCAACTCCAGGTTTCCTTCTTCTTCCAATAAAATCAATGGTACAAGCTCCCGCGAGGATCGGCACAGTCTCACCACTGGCTTAACTTCAAACTTTCCATCTTCAGTGTTCTTCTCAAGTGGATTAAGGTCTGCTTTGGCACATACGGCTGCTACCTTGCGGTCACTTCTTTACACCTTCTGGTTTGTCTGCCCTACAATCTTTTTGCAATATGCCCCGTCTTGTTGCAAATAAAGCACACCTTCGGTGCTTGGCTTCTGTTGTTCTGTCGGCGTCTCTGGCTAAATGGCCCGCCTTATTACAAATAAAGCATGTCTTCACTAGCGAATTTCTATTCTCTGTCACTCTGCTTGATGTCCCTGGAATGGATCTCTTGCCCATCTGCCCTTGTTTTGGAACTGGAGTACCTCTGGCAAAAACAGAAGACGCCCCCTTTATGCGCTTCTATGTACTGCTCTGCAAGGCGTGTTAACTCTTCTATTGAGGTCGGCACTCTTTCTTTCAGGAAGACGGCCAAATCTGTGGAACACCCCTCGATGAACTGTTCCTGATTAATAGCTCGCTTATTCCATGAAAGGTCTGCTCTACTCCAGCCATATCTGTCCACCTTGTGAAATATCGTCTCAACCTCTCAATGAACTGAAAAACAGACTCACCAGGTAGTGGTCTGCTCTGCCTGAACTTCACCCTGAAACCCTCTTCAGTCAACTGGTATCGTTTTAAGATAGCCCTCTTCAGGGTGTCATACTCGTTGGCTTCTTCAATAGGCAAAACTTGTAAAAACTTCCAGACCTTGCCCTGATAGTAATGAGCTTAAGCTCATTGCCCAAGTGTCTCTCTCTCCCAGTCTTGGCTAATGGCAAATCTTTCAAATCTCTCCAGAAATGAATCTATATTATCATTTGCTTCATCGAACTTAGGTATTCTTGGTCTGAGGGACTTGCTTCCCTCACTGGTGGTTACTTTGCAGGATTTGATCCGCTCAATCTCGAGATCTTTTTCCTTCATCTGGAGCTCAAAGTTTATTTCCATCTGTCTTCTTTCTTCTTCACGCCTTCGGGCCCTTTCCTCTCTGGCTAGGCATTCTTCTTCCTTCTCTTGAAGAAACAATAATAAATCGCTGCCGGATAACCCTAGCTTTTCTCCTATTCTTAACCATTCGTCGTAATACATATTGCTCATTTTATCAAAATCTCTTTTTAAGTGATCCCGGACGAGCCCCCAATTGTCAAGTTTTGGTTTCACTTATGAGATTTTTATCGATATTCTGAGCGGTATTTGTGATTGTAAGTTAAGAATCGCTGTACTCCTGGACTTGCTGCAGTATTGGACTTGCTGCAGTATTGGACTTGCTGCACTATTGGACTTGCTGCAGCATTGGACTTGCTGCACTATTGGACTTGCTGCCACTATTGGACTTGCTGCACTATTGGACTAGCTACGCTTCTTAGACTTGCTGCGGCTTTTTGGACTTGCTGCACGTTAATACTTGCTGCGATTCTTGGACTTGCTGCACTCTATTAGACTTGCTGCGCTTCTTAGACTTGCTGCACTTCTTGGACTTGCTTCCACTATTAGTTCTTGCTTGCGCTTCTTGGACTTGCTGCGCTCCTTGGACTTGCTGCGCTTCTTGGACTTGCTGCACTATTAGACTTGCTGCGCTTTTTGGACTTGCTGCGCTTCTTAGACTTGTTGCGTTCCTTGGACTTGCTGCGCTTCTTGGAGTTGCTGCGCTTCTTAGACTTGCTGCGCTCCTTGGACTTGCTGCGCTTCTTAGACTTGCTGCGCTTCTTAGACTTGCTGCGCTCTTTGGACTTGCTGCGCTTCTTGGACTTGCTGCGCTTCTTGGACTTGCTTCTTTTCTGGGAAGCGGACCGTTCTTAGACTTGCTTCTTTACTGGGGAAGCGGACCGTTCTTAGACTTGCTTCTTTACTGGGGAAGCGGACCGTTCTTAGACTTGCTTCTTTACTGGGAAGCGGACCGTTGCTAAGGCTCAACTCTTCACTAGAAAGCCGACCGTTTTTCTTGACTTGCTGGCTTATTCGGTTCCCTCACTGGACCTGCTCACCAACAAGGAGACTTGCTGAAAATTAAGCTTTCCGACAATATGTATAAAGCCTCTTTCGAAATTTCAAATTTTTTTTCTTCTTTTTTTATTTCCAATTTCATTTCATATAAATACACAACGCGCGAACCGGATAGAACGCCACAATTGTGACGTCACGTCAAAACAATAAATAATACAAAATGGCGGACATTTGTGTTTCTTTTCATAAATAAAATGGCTATTTTGACACTCATTGATGTAAGAAATTCAAATGCTATGTTTTAGGCTTTAAAACCTCAGTGGAGTCCCTTTAAAGTCAATTTTTTTTAGTTAAAATCATGAAAGAAAACACTTCATTTACTTATAAACATTTATAAAAAGAAGGACTAATTAGCTAACCTTTACCTGATCAATGTTTAATTTTTGTTTAAACATTCTCCCACGTACATACAGCAGCTCTGGTCTTATTGATTTATGGTCGTCACCTTCTAAGTTCTAAAACAGAAACATATTACATGTAGAATCACACAAATCAACAAATATAAGCTTTCTGAGTACAGCACTTTTCACTTTGAACAAACTTGGCAGACACCCATTAGAAGATGTTTCATGGTAAACATCTAAGGTCTAGCTGGTCAAGTTTTTTCTTTACACATATAGTTAAAAACAATGACACACCTGGGGTAGGGCCATTTTGGACCCAAGGGCTTTTATTTAAACAATCTTTGTAGACACTTACTAGAAAATGTTTCATGCTTAATATCTGAACACTAGCTATTCGGATTTTTCTAAGAAGATTTTTAAGTTTTTGCTATACACATATAAAGAAAATCAATGACCCCCGGGGTGGGGCCAATTTTGACCCCAGGGCTTTTATTTGAACAAACTTTGTAGACACTTACTAGAAGATTTTTAATGCTTAATATCTAAACTCTAGCTATTTGGGTTCTTTAAAAGAAGATTTGTTAAGTTTTTACTATACACATATTAGGAAAATCAATGTCCCCTGGGGCGGGGCCAATTTTAACCCCATGGCTTTTATTTGAACAAACTTTGTAGACACTCACTAGAAGATGCTTCGTGTTTAATATCTAAATTCTAGCTATTTGAGTTTTTTCAAAGAAGATTTTTAAATTTTTGCTATACACATATAAGTAAATCAATGACCCCTGGGGCGGTTAAGTTTTTACTATATGCATATAGGGAAAATTAATGACCCCCTGGGCGTGGCCAATTTTGACCCCAGGGCTTTTATTTGAACACTTGGTAGACACCAATTAGAAGATGTTTCATGCTAAATTTCTTAGCTCTAGCTCTTTGGGTTCTTTAAAAGAAGATTTTTTAAGTTTTTACTATATGCATATAGGGAAAATCAATGACCCCCTGGGGCGGGGCCAATTTTGACCCAGGGCTTTTATTTGAGCAAACTTGGTAGACTCTCACTAGAAGATGATTCATTCCAAATATCTAAGCTCTAGCTCTTTGGGTTTTTTAGAAGAAGATATTTAAAGTTTTTTTCTTTTCGTTGCCATGGCAACCAGAGTTCTGCATGGATTTAAATTCTTTGAACAATTTTCAAAGGTGACCACCAAAGGAACATTTCTGTGAAGTTTGGATGAAATTGACTTGGTGGTTTATGAGGAGATGTCATTTAAAGTAAAAGTTTACGGACGACGGATGGGCGCCGGACAAAAAGCGATCACAAAAGCTCACCCTGTCACTTTGTGACAGGTGAGCTAAAAAAGGGGCATAAATCTGCAAAAATGAGTCAAAGACAGAAATGGATAGGTTGCATTTGTATGCCACATATCACGAGTCTGTGATGTTTTGAAAATGTTATACCATTCACCATCAATGTCGAAAATTTAACTCAGTCGGTAAACAGGAAGTAGATCTGTGACAGACCTGAAATTGAATACCACAGTATTTGACCATCTTTTAATGCTGTATACCATATATCAAGAGGCTATGATATGTAGTTGCTGAAAAAATTGTTATGAAAATGTCGTACCACTGACCATTAATGTTGAAGTCGGTAAACAGGAAGTGGATAAAGGGCAAACCTTAAATCGAAACCTACTGTATTGGAATATGTGTTAATGTTGTATACCAAATATCAAGAGGCTGTGATATGAAGGTGCTGAGAAAACTGTTATGAAAATTTCCTACCATTAACCAATAATGTTGATATGAACGACAGACCTGAAATTGAATACCACAGTATGGGACCATGTGTTAATGCTGTATACCAAATATTAAGAGGCTGTGATATGTAGTTGCTGAGGAGACTGTTAAGAAAGTTTTTTTCCCGCCCACCTGCCTGCCTGCCACCCACCCGCCATTCACCATACTACATGTATAACATGTGCAGCCATTAAGCCATAAAAAGTTCTTGGCAGACTTATCTGCCCTTGAGTTCAGACCTGCCTCAAGGATATTAACCGGTAATGGTGAAAAATAATATATATATATATTGTTGGATAGCATTTTAATAAAATTGACTTTTACAGAAAAACAAATGTTTGGCCAATTACAAGAACTTGAACAACAGTCTGATTTCTGTTTCTATGAATGAACAAAAACAAAAAATACAAATACATTTCAGTACTTTTTCTTATAAAACTCATTATCTATTTAGTAATTCCCAAGATAATTTACAGCAATAAAACATCATTGTTTGAAGAGTCTCCACCACAACAGTAAGCATTGCAAGTTAAACTAGAACTGTGTCCAACATATACAGTTTGTATATGGTATATAGTGAAAAAATCAACAAAGGGCCATAATTCTGTTCAATTTGGTCGCAGAGAAAATTCCTTCCTTAACTGCCATCTACACATTAAGGTTGTTCATCCCTGGAAGTTTAAGCAAAATCTGCCATTCGGTTTCAGAGGAGTTGCGTTTATAAAATTTCTACATAGTATTTAGTGAAAAAATCAACAAAGGGCCATAATTCTGTTTAATTTTGGTCGCAGCAAAAATTCCTTCCTTTACAACCATCTACACATTAAGATTGTTCATACCTGGAAGTTTAAGCGAAATCTGCCATCCGGTTTTAAGAGGAGTTTCCTTCACAAAATTTCTACATAGTATATAGTGAAAAAATCAACAAAGGGCCATAATTCTGTTAAATTTGGTCGCAGCAAAAATTCCTTCCTTTAACACCATCTACACATTAAGGTTGTTCATCCCTGGAAGTTTAAGCAAAATCTGCCATCAGGTTTCAGAGGAGTTGCGTTCACAAGATTTCGGGACGGACGGGTGAACAGATAGACGGACAAGTGTAATGCTATATGCTCCCCACTTTGTGGGGGCATAAAAAAGAAAAAAGTTAACACATATTCTTTATCTACATAAACTAGGTACCTCCCACTGAAATGCTTTTCATATATCAAATTATCAAAATTACATACTGTAAAATTCACTGTCGAAAAAAGTTGCAAAAAGACGATCATCCACTCCACACAACGAAATTTAATTGATATCAAGGGCAATAACTCAAAAATGCAAGGTTGGTGGTATATTAGAACTATTCACATATATTTTAAGGATTACAGTGTTGAACAGTTTTGTCACTTCTCTTGACATGCATACCTTAATGAAGCATTTGACAAGGTCTGTTTAGGAGGAACAAAACACTTTTAAAGCGTTGCCCTACATTTTCGTCAAATAAGAATATTCCAACTTTGAAAGTGTAAACCAGTAAAGGTCGAAAACCCCGTGTCACCTTTCCAGTGTTGGTGAGAAGTAAGCCCCCCCCCCCCCCTGCACACACAAAACCAAAATGAAAACATAAATATGTCATATGAATAAACATGACTGTGACCCGAGACGGGTACCAAACAAACAACTAAATCAAGATAAATGATCTTTTTAAATGTTATTTAAAATTGTACCATTAATACTACACAAAAACATTGTGCATGATACTTCCTTTTTGATTGAAATCTATGATAACTGACATGAAATGAAATAGTTTTGTGAAACAAACCAAACCAAAACCTACAAAAAAATATTTGAAACCTGTTATATCATTGGGATTTTGTCTAAAAAGACATGTCTCAAAAGATATGTTTAATATTTTCAAATTTGTATTCTCTACAAGCACTGTATTGTTTTATTCCTTTCTTTAAATAATCAAATTTTTCTATAAAACATGAATATAAAAAAGAAAAACTGTCAATGGAAATAGACTACTGTCCCAAAACGATTATCTTAAGTTTAAAGTTGATACCAACACTTGTCACAAATAAGAAAAGTGAAAATATAACACTTTTCAATTATATCATTTATAGTATATGCAGGTGTTGATAATGAATGTATCTTTTAAACTTGAAGTAAATCAATAAAGAAATAAGAAAGTTAAAAATACTGCCATCTACCATATTTCAAGTTTCATAAAAATATTTCCAGTACACCAATATTGTTACATTTGCCATATCTTAAACATGTGTATTTGTTGCCTTAGCAACCAAATTTTTCAACATAGGAAGAAAAGAAAAAGACATGCACAATCCACAGACAGCCACCTACACATTTATTAAGTTTCATAAAATATTTTCAGTACTTTTTGCATCATCATGGGATTCAGTTTTGTGGACGGACAGAAAACAGACGGATAGACAGACAGAAGGTAAACCGAAAGTCACCTGTGGTTAAACCTCAAACTAACACATTAAGTGTAGTACTGTTTATTGGTTATCTGTTTAGGGTAAAATCATCTGTTGTAACCTGGTTTAAATATTTAACAAATTTATCTCTACAAGTTTATACATGTAGTATACACTGCAGTGCATAGACGGGAAGTGACTTGTTGGATAAGAAACTAAAGACAATATTTTCAATATTCTAGCCAGCTGTATAAATACCTGGTGAGTCAATTTACTTAATATCTACGTTTAAAAAATAAATGAAATTTATCAAGTATTTATATTACTTTAAATTGATTTAAATTTACCCTACATTTTAAATAACCTTGAAAGAAATTTTCCATACCCCACCCACAACTCAAACTAATTTAAAATGGTTTATATCTTATTTTGATTGGTGTAATGTGACAACATGATCTACCTATTCTTTAAAAAGGAATTACCTGAACACTAAACTATAACAAAAAGGTTATCGTGGTCCTGTATTGCTCACCTGAGATATATTGCTAGGAAAGGTCACAATTTTTATTTTCCATGTCAGTCAGGAATGTCTGCCTTGAATATATTTTACCCAAGCTGCATTATTCTTCAGATATTTGTAGATGTCTGCTATTAAATGCTTAATGACAAATATCTTAGCTCTTGGCATTGAAGTTTTATGAAACAAGAGGGCCCTGGATCACTCACCTGAGAAACAGGTCAAAGTGGAGCCCGTTTTCAACACAGAAGCACAATTTGAAAACAAGGGACAGCTTAATCTGAACATTTATGCACACTGTTAACAAGGAAATTTTTGTGTAAAATTATTTCAAAATTAAACCAGTGGTATAGATGTTGTTTGCTAATTTTAGCTCTGGCAGCCATTTTATTAAACAGTTTAGCCTGTCACTTAGTGAGAGGTGAGCTAACAAGAGGGCCATGATGGCCCTGAGGTCCCTCACCTGTATATATGCCCCCCCACCCCCGGGCCAATTTTTACCCAAGGGCTTTTATTTGTTTATTTGAACAGACTTGGTAGACATGAAAAGAAGATTTTTAAAGTTTTTACTATACACATATAGTTAAAAACAATGAAGATTTTTAAGTTTTTGCTATACACATATAAGGAAAATCAATGACCCCCCCCCCCCCCAGGAGGGGCCAGTTTTGACCCCAGGGCTTTTATTTGAACATACTTGGTAGACACCCATTAGAACATGTTTCATGCTAAATATCTTAGCTCTAGCTTATTGAGTTCTTTAAAAGAAGATTTTTTAAGTTTTTACTATATGCATATAGGGAAAATCAATGACCCCCTGGGGCGGGGCCAATTTTGACCCCCGGGCTTTTATTTGAACAAACTTGGTAGACACTCATTAGAAGATGTTTCATGCTAAATATCTTAGCTCTAGCTCTTTGGGTTCTTTAAAAGAAGATTTTTTAAGTTTTTACTATATGCATATAGGGAAAATCTATGACCCCCTGGGGCGGGGTCAATTTTGACCCAAGGGCTTTTATTTGAACAAACTTGGTAGACATTCACTAGAAGATGTTTCATGCCAAATATCTAAGCTCTAGCTCTTATGGTTCTTTAAAAGAAGATTATTTAAGTTTTTACTATATGCATATAGGGAAAATCAATGACCCCCCGGGGCGGGGCTAATTTTGACCCCAGGGCTTTAATTTGAACAAACTTGGTAGACACTCACTAGAAGATGTTTCATGCTTAATATCTTAGCTCTAGGTCTTTGGGTTCTTTAAAAGAAGATTTTTTAAGTTTTTACTATATGCATATAGAGAAAATCAATGACCCCCTGGGGCGGGGCCAATTTTGACCCCAGGGCTTTTATTTGAACAAACTTGGTAGACATTCACTAGAAGATGTTTCATGCTTAATATCTAAGCTCTATCTCTTTGGGTTCTTTAAAAGAAGATTTTTTAAGTTTTTACTATATGCATATAGGGAAAATCAATGACCCCCCGGGGCGGGGCTAATTTTGACCAAAAGGGCTTTTATTTGAACAAACTTGGTAGACACTCACTAAAAGATGTTTCATGCCAAATATCTTAGCTCTAGCTCTTTGGGTTCTTTAAAAGAAGATTTTTTAAGTTTTTACTATATGCATATAGGGAAAATCAATGACCCCCTGGGGTGGGGCCAATTTTGACCCCAGGGCTTTTATTTGAACAAACTTGGTAGACAGTCACTAGAAGATGTTTCATGCCAAATATCTAAGCTCTAGCTCTTAGGGTTGTTTCGGTGTCTTTCGGTTGCCATGGCAACCAGAGTTCTGCAGGGAATTAAATTCTTTGAACAATTTTTAAAGGTGACCACCAAAGGAACATTCCTGTGAAGTTTGGATGAAATTGACTCAGTGGTTTATGAGGAGATGTCATTTAAAGCAAAAGTTTACGTACGGACGCCGGACGGACGCCGGACAAAAAGCGATCACAAAAGCTCACCCTGTCACTTTGTGACAGGTGAGCTAATAAAAAGATGACAGCAAAAGAGAAGGAAAACAAACAAAATTGACCTGGCTGGGAATTGAACTGTCAACCTCGATTCCTTTGAGGCAGGCCAATTTTGACCCTAAGGGGTTTATTTCAACAAATGTAGTAGACATACACTAGAACATGTTTGATGCTAAATATCAGAGCTCTAAATCTTTTGGGTTTTCATAAAAATATTTTTTAAATTTTCATTATAACAAGAACTGTTGGAGGACAGTATTGGCTCGACTATTCAAAAATTTGTCACAAGGGTGTTTTATTGAGTATAATAATGCTAGTTACCTATGAATACATAAAATTGACCGAAAAGGTACAAAGGCTTGTTCTTAAGATGTTTTATCAAGTAAATCACGGCTTTATTATTATGAATGCATAAAATTGTCCCAAAAAGACACAAACTCTTCAGTAGTTATGGAGATAACAGCTTACAAGCAAAACTTTACCATTAATTTCTAAGTTGAAAAAGGGGAGAAAAATCAGCCTAACTGCAAGATAGAATTATGGATCTAGGTCAGTGACCTACAATTAAATTCTAAATGCATAAGTGAAGTTTAAAATAAATATCTTTAATACTTATTGAGATATATGTAAAACTTGCATGTAAACATTAACCTATAGACTAAGTAGAAAAGGGGAGATGAATCAACCTAAATGCGAGTAGAGTTATGGAACTTGGTCAGTGACATACAATTATGACTCTCCAATTATGACCCTAAGTACATGTGTAAAGTTTCAAGTAAATATCTTTGAATACCTTTAACCTTTAACCAAAATTTCTAAGTTTCACAGGGGCAAATAATTCTGCAAATATTGCAGGCATAGTTATGCAATTTTGCAAACTGATGTACATTGTTACTATAAAAAAGCATTGTAAGTTTTAATTGAATATCTCAATTATTGCTTGAGATATTTGAGGTTTCAAAAAACTTTAACCAAAATTTCTAAGTTAAAAAGGGGCATAATTCTGTCAATATTGTAGGCAGAGTTATCCAACTTGTCAATCTGATGTACATTGTTACTATAAATAAGTGTTGTAAGTTTCAATTGAATATCTCAAGCAATAATTGAGATATTTGACTTTACAAAAAAACTTTAACAAAAAAAATTTCTAAGTTAAAAAGGGGCATAATTCTGTCAATATTATAGGCAGAGTTATCTAACTTGTCAATCTGATGTACCTTGTTACTATAAATTAGTATTGTAAGTTTCAATTGAATATCTCAAGCAATAATTGAGATATTTGACTTTACAAAACACTTTAACCAACGCAGACGCCGACGCGGACGCTGACGCCGGGGCGACTACAATAGCTCTCATATTCTTCGAAAAGTCGAGCTAAAAAATTATACAAATAAGAAAAATCAATGATTCCTGGGGCCGGGCCAATTTTGACTCAATGGCTTTCATTTAATCACACATGGTGGACATCCACTAGAAAATGTTTTATGCCAAATATCAAAGCTATAGCTCCTTTTGATTTTCACACGAAGATTTTTTTAAGTTTTAACTACAGTGACAGTGTAACTTCTGAATTCTGGAACTTCTAAAATCCGGAAACTTCTGAAATCCAAACATTTTTCAGAATCCCGAAATTTCTCCTCCTGTTTTCTATGTAATAAATACCTCTGAACTTCTAAATTCTGAATTCCGAACAATTGTCCGATAAAATTTAAGTTATATTCATTCAAATTTACTTCCAAAATCCGGACATTGAAAAAGGCGTGAAGGAATATTATAATTGAAATTGTAAAACCTTCAAAATGTCAGTATGTTCCAATTAGCAGCAAACCATTTATCTTGACACCTTTTACAATCACAACTTGTCAAGCTTGATTAAAGTGTGAAAAATGAAAAATGAGAAGTACATGTATATTCAAATGTGATTAAAAACAAAAAATATAGTTTATTAAGAGATGGTACAACATGAAATTATGCTTTTGAATCAGTTATAGATGAAAATGAAATTGAATATACAATGTATAGGCTGGACAAAATCCCCTTCACTACCCGGACAAAATCCCCTTGTTTCATAGGTTTCTAATGTATTATTATGCTCCATAAAAATTGATGAATAACGTATTACTATACTCCCTAAAAATTGATGAATAATGAACTTTTGTTTTTTATTTATAATTATGTATCAATAGTTAACCTTTATTTAGTTTAGAAGTTTTCATTAAAATTATGGTAAATTATCAACTGCATAACACATATTTGATTAGGCAATTTCTTGAATTGTTTTAAATTGATTAGTATGAAAAACATTTTTATTAGCCAATAATTGTTTCATTGATTGTATAAGTTGATAATTCTAATGATATATACTATCCATTGTTACAATTTCTATTGATGAAAGAATGATATTTTAATCAAACCAAGATCACTGCACTACTTGATTGATTGTTTATATGAATGCTTTAACAAAGCAATTTTAATGTCATTTAAATGTTGCTAATTGAATGTGCATTTCTGCTGAAATATTTTCTACTTATTTATACATTAAGATATTTACTACATGTACACAGCATAATGCAGTATGTCGCTCTCATACCTACTTTATAAAACGAAAATTCCTCTGAGGGAGATTTTGTCCTAGGTAGCAATTTTATGAAGGGGCTTTTGTCCACTTCAAAATTTCACACATGAAGGGGAATGTGTCCACCCATGAAGGGGATTATGTCTGCATATACAACAAGATTGCATTTGAGAAAAATGCTATGCCACCGCATTATAAGCTCTATGCCTTGTACCTTCAGACAAAAATATTTTTTATCTTTTACTATATGTACATAATGAACATCAATGACCCCCGGGCAATAATTTGAACAATCTTGGTAAAGGTTCACTTTGCAAAGTCTCATGCCATATATTTAACCTCTAGTCTTTGTCAATTCAGAGAAGAAGATTTTTCAATTCAGAGAAGAAGATTTTCAAGTTTTTACTTTATCTATAAGGAAAACTATCGCTTCTGGGGGAGTGTAATTTTAACACTAGGGGCATAATTAAAACAACTTTAGTAGAGGACTCATAGATGATATTATATACCAAATATCAAAGCTCTAAGCCTTGTACCTTCAGACAAGAAGATTTTTTAATTTTTTACTACATGTACATAGTGAAAATCAATGACCCCTGGGGGTGGGGCCAATTTTGACCCCAGGGCTATAATTTGTACAATCTTACTAGAGGTTCACTACATAATGTTTCTTGCAAAATATCTTAACTTTAGCCTTTGTAAATTTAGAGAAGATGATTTTGTAAGTTTTTACTATATACATATAAGGAAAACCTATTGCCCCCGGGGCGGGGCTAATTTTGACACTAGAGGCAAAATTTGAACAACTTTGGTAGAGTACCTATAGATGATATTATTTAACAAATATCAAAGCTCTTAGCCTTGTACCTTCAGACAATAAGATTTTTGACTTTTTACTATATGTATATATTGAAAATCAATGACCCCCAGGACGGGGGCAATTTTGATCCCAGGGCTATAATTTGAACAATCTTTCTAGAAGTTCACTTCACAATGTTTCATGCAAAACATCTAACCTCCAGCATTTGTCAATTGCTTGAAGAAATTTTTTTAAAGTTTTTACTATAAGTTTTTACTATATACATTTAAGGAAAACCAATGAACCCCGGGGCGGGCCGATTTTGACCCCAGGGCTATAATTTGAACAATCTTGGTAGAGGTCTACCAGACAATGCCTTATGCAAAATATCTAAGCTCTTGGCCTTTTGGGTCTTTACAAGAAGGTATTTTAAGTTTTTACTATGTGAACATATAGTGAAAATCAATGACCCCCGGGGTGGGGCCGATTTTGACCCCCAGGGCTATAATTTGAACAATCTTGGTAAGGGTCTACCAGACAATGCCTTATGCAAAATATCTAAGCTCTAGGCCTTTTGGGTCTTTACAAGAAGGTATTTTAGGTTTTTACTACATGTACATATAGTGAAAATCAATGACCCCCAGGGCGGGGCCGATTTTGACCCCCAGGGCTATAATTTGAACAGTCTTGGTAGAGGTCTACCAGACAATGCGTTATGCAAAATATCTAAGCTCTAGGCCTTTTGGGTCTTTACAAGAAGATTTTTTTAATTTATTCTTATAATTTCATATGGTTGCCATGGCAACCAGATTTCTGCATGGAATGTAATTCTTTGAACAACTTTGGAAGCCCTTCACCCAAGGATCAATCCTGCCAAGTTTGGTTGAAATTGGACTAGTGGTTTTTCACAAGAAGATTTTTTAAGTTCACTATATAATCTATATAACACACACACACAAACACACACACAAACAAACACACACACAGGTGAATCGCTATATGCCACCGCATCGCAGATGCTGCGGTGGCATAAAAATACATGAAGGGGATTTTGTCCGAAGGGGATTATGTCCGTACACCACAATGTAGTTATAACTTTTTAAAAGTCCTATAGTTTTGCCATTTTATGAATTTGATAAGCTTCCTATATTTTTCATCTTTTCTTAAACAATTGATGTTCAATGTTAACCTAATGTTTCTACTTGTTCAGATACTTCCGAACTTCTGAATTCCGGAAACTTCCAAATTCCGAACTTTTTGGCAAGTCCCACAGGTGTTCGGTTTTCAGAAGTTACACTGTATATACATACATGTATACATAAAGAAAATCAATGACACCTCTGGGGCAGGGCCAATTTTGACCCTAGGGCTTTTATTTGAACAAACTTGGTAGACATTTACTAGAAGATGTTTCATGCCAAATATCTAAGATGTACCTCTTTTGGATTTTCACACTAAGATTTTGTAAGCTTTTACTATATACATATAAGGAAGATTCAACAACCCCTGGGGCCGGACAAATTTTGACCCTAGGGCTTTTATTTGAACAATTTTGGTAGGCATTAACAAGAAAATGTTTCATGCCAAATATCTAACCAATACTGCTTTTGGATTGTCAAAAGAAGTTTTTGAAGTTTTTACTACATACATATAAGGAAAATCAATGACCCCCTGGTGTGGGGTCAATTTTGACCCTAGGGGTTTAATTTGAACAAACGTGGTAGACATACATAAGAAGATGTTTCATGCCAAATATCTTAGCTCTAGCTATTTTGTTTTTTTTACAAGAACATTTTTTAATTTTTTTTGAAAAAAATATCCTTCAGTTGCCATGACAACAAGAGTTCTTTATGGAATATAATTATTTATACAACTTTGGTAGTGATTTAAGGAACATCCCTGCACAGTTTCCACAATTGTGGCCAAGTGGTTTAGGAGGAAAAATTGTTTAAATATATTGTTGACGCACGGACGGATGGACGCTTGATGACGGACAATGGGCCATCACAGTAGCTCACTTTGAAGACATTGTCCTCCGGTGAGCTAAAATACTTAAATGTATTTTCCTATACAAGTCTATATAAATTATGTAACTTGAGGCCGATTTTGTGCTAATTTTGACCAAAATAGGCATGATTTGTGTAAATCTACATACCAAATATCTGAGCTTTGGGCATTGTTATTTGAGGGAAGAAGATTTTTAGGACATTATTGCTATACAAATCTGTGTAAACTAAGTTCACCTTATTGCTGGGCCATATTTTACTCCAGTGGTAGGACTTATACAACTGATGTAGAGCTCCATTGAGCCATGCTACATGCCAAATATCTAAGCTTCTGGTAATCATATTGAAGATTCACAAAAGAAGACTTAAATGTACATTGTATTGACTCCTGGGGAGGGGCCAATTTTCACCCCTGTGTCATGATTTATAGAGAACCACAAGGTGATGCTACCTGACAAATATCTAAGCTCTAGGTATTGTAGATTGTAGTTTTTGAGGAGAAGTTTTTTTAATAATTTTACTGTACAAATCTATTTAAAATAAGTGACCCTTCGAGCAGGACCAATTTTGACCCGAGGGCCATGAATTACATAACTTTTGTAGAGGCCCACTATGCCAAATATCAAACTTTTTGGCATTTCAGTTTCATAAAAGAAGACTTACATGACTGTGTTTCTCTGTAAAAGCATATGTAAACTACGGTGGATCATTTTTGACCCTAGGGCCATGATTGATGTTTTTTAAGTTTGGAACCATAAAACAATGCTACATACCAAAAAATCTAAGCCGTGAGCATTATAGTTTGAAACAAGAAGACATATATGTCTACAACAAGTGGGACATGATGGCCCGGGATACGGACAAAAGCCCCCCCCCCCCCCGGACAAACCCCCCCAATCTAAAAATGACAAGGTGGACAAAAGTCCCCCCCCATGAAATTTACACATAGGACAAAAGCCCCCCCCCCATAAAAAGTAAAGGTAGGACAAAAGCCCCCCCATGGTCAATCAAATTTACATATAATGTATTAAAGTTGTGTTTTTATGTGTTTAAAAGATATTATTGGACATCACATGTAGATGACATAGTGCTAAGGATATTTATTTGATCCCTTTACAAAATGATAAAACATGACTAACTCTTCTAACCCTTGTTGTGTATATAAAAAGCTATGAATTCAGTATCTCATGCATGCATTATTTCACCTGTTATCATTATACTTTGTTATCACTTCAATTTATACATTATGAATAAACATTAAAAAAATTCCTTTCATTTTTATTTAAAAGTTTGTGTGAAATTTGATGAATTTGAGCACCTGTGCGTTTGAAAAAAAGATGGGGGGGGGGCTTTTGTCCTACCTGTATTTTTGAGGGGGGGGGGGGCTTTTGTCCTATGTGTAAATTTCATGGGGGGGGGGCTTTTGTCCACCTTTTCATTTTTAGATGGGGGGGGGGCTTTCGTCCGGGGGGCTGCTTTTGTACTACACTCGGCCCGGCCCTTATATTGCAAACCTGATTATGAAGGCTCAATTCCATATTATTTGGGCTGACCTGTGTGACCTAGTTTTTAACCCCAGATGACTCATATTCAAACTTGACCTAGAAATTATTTAAACAACCTTTCTGAACAATTTACAGAATATTCGGATAAAACAAAAGCCTCTACAGTGTTTACAAGGTGTTTCCATATTTGGGTTATGTGGCGATAGTTTTCGACTCCAGTCGACCAATATTTGAGATTGACCTAGGATTATCACCAATATAACCTGTCTGACCAATTTCCAGAATATTTGAATCAAAACAGTAGTGTCTAAAGTGTAAACAAGGTTTTTTCCAGATATTGTCTGTGTGACCTAGTTTCTGATTACAAGTGACCCATATTATAACTTGACCTAGAAGTAGAAATTATCATAACAACCTTTCTGACCAATTTCAAGGATATTTGGACTCAAACAATATCCCCTGGAGTGTTTACAAGGTTTTCCAATACTTAAGCTGTGTGACCTAGTTTTTGGCCCCAGGTGATCCATATTCTTACTTGGCCTATAAATCACCAAAAGAACTTCAGAGACCAATTTCTAGGATATTTGGTTCAAAACAATAGCCTTTAGTGTATTATCAAGGTTTTTACATTTCTGGGTTGTGTGACCTAGTTTTGGACCTTCGATTACTTATATATTCCAACTTGAGATAGAAATGATAAAAACAACCTTACTGACCAAGGACATCTGGATCAAAATAGCAGCATCTTGAGTGTTAACAAGGCTTTTCCATATTTGGTCTGTGACCAACCTTTTGACCACAGGTCATCCATATTCAAGCTAGACCTAGAAATTATCAGACCAACCTGTCTGACCAATTTTCAGGATATTTGGATCAAAACAGTACCACTAGAGCATAAACAAGACATTTATTATTTTTAGCTCCTGTGATCTACATTTTGACTGGAGATGACCAATATTCGAACTTGACCTGTATTTCGCTAAAAATAATATTCTGATAAAGGTTGATTATGATTATAGCCAAAACTGTGTCTAACAGAATGCTAAACAAGAGGGCCATGATGGCCCTGAAATCGCTCACCTGTATATAGGCCCCCGGGGCGGGGCTAATTTAAACCCAGGGGCTTTTATTTGAACAAACTTGGTAGATCCCCATTTGAAGATGTTTCATGATAAATATCTAAGCTCTAGCTCTAAGAAAATCTTTAAGTTTTTACTAAACACATATAGTGAAAAACAATGACCCACACCCTCTGTGCGGGCCAATTTTGTCCCCAGGGCTTTTATTTGAACAAACTTGGTAAACACTCACTAGAAGATAATTCATGCTTAATATCTAAACTCTATCTCTTTGGGCTTTTTAACAGAACATTTTTTTCAGTTTTTACTATATACATAAAAGGAAAATCAATGATCCCGGGGCCGGGCCAATTTTTTAACCCCAGGGCCCTTAATTTAACAAAAATGGTAGACACCCATTAGAAGATGTTTCATGCTAAATATCTTAGCTCTAGCTTTTAAGATTTTTTAAAAGAAGATTTTTTATGTTTTAACTATATACATAAAAGAAAAAACAATGACCCCCTGGGGCGGGGCCAATTTTGACCCCAGGGCTTTTATTTGAACAAACTTGTTAGACACCCACTAGAAGAGGTTTCATGCTTAATATCTTAGCTCTAGCTCTTTGGGTTCTTTAAGAGAAGATTTTGAAGGCTTTACTATATGCATATAGGAAAAATCAATGACCCCCTGGGGCAGGGCCAATTTTGACCCCAGGGCTTTTATTTGAACAAACTTGGTAGACACAGACTAGAAGATGTTACATGCTTAATAGCTAAGCTCTAGCTCTTTGGGTTTTTTAAAAAGATTTTTTAAGGTTTTACTATATGCATATTGGGAAAATTAATGACCCCCTGGGTGGGGCCAATTTTGACCCCAGGGCTTTTATTTGAACAAACTTGGTAGACACTGACTAGAAGATGTTTCATGCCAAATATCTAAGCTCTAGCTATTACGGTTTTTTAAAAGAAGATTTTTTAAGGTTTTACTATATGCCTATAGGGTAAATCAATGACCCCCTGGGGCGGGGCCAATTTTGACCCCAGGGCTTTTATTTGAACAAACTTGGTAGACACCCATTAGAGGATGTTTCATGCTAAATATCTTAGCTCTAGCTGTTTGGGTTCTTTAAAAGAATATTTTTTAAGGTTTTACTATATGCATATAGGGAAAATCAATGACCCCCTGGGGGCGGGGCCAATTTTGACCCCAGGGCTTTTATTTTAAACAAAACTTGGTAGACACCCATTAGAGGATGTTTCATGCTAAATATCTTAGCTCTAGCTCTTTGGGTTCTTTAAAAGAAGATTTTTTAAGGTTTTACTATATGCATATAGGGAAAATCAATGACCCCTGGGGCGGGGCCAATTTTGACCCCAGGGCTTTTATTTTGAACAAACTTGGTAGACACTGACTAGAAGATGTTTCATGCCAAATATCTAAGCTCTACCTCTTTGGGTTTTTTAAAAGAAGATTTTTTAAGGTTTTACTATATGCCTATAGGGTAAATCAATGACCCCCTGGGGGCAGGGCCCAATTTTGACCCCAGGGCTTTTATTTGAACAAACTTGTAGAACACCCATTAGAGGATGTTTCATGCTAAATATCTTAGCTCTAGCTCTTTGGGTTCTTTAAAAGAGAGATTTTTTTAAGGTTTTACTATATGCATATAGGGAAAATCAATGACCCCCTGGGGCGGGGCCAATTTTGACCCCAGGGCTTTTATTTGAACAAACTTGGTAGACAATGACTAGATGATGTTTCATGCCAAATATCTAAGCTCTAGCTCTTTGGGTTTTTTAAAAGAAGATATTTTAAGTTTTTTGCCATGGCAACCAGAGTTCTGCATGGAATTAAATTCTTTGAACAATTTTTAAAGGTCACCACCAAAGGAACATTCATGTGAAGTTTGGATGAAATTGGCCTAGTAGTTTATGAGGAGATGTCATTTAAAGTAAAAGTTTACGGACGACGGACGGACGGACGGACAGACGGCCGGACGCCGGACGAAAAGCGATCACAAAAGCTCACCCTGTCACTTTGTGACAGGTGAGCTAAAAACTCCTGACAATGCCAGACATAGACCAATTACTGTACCTTACCTCGACGACTTTATTACTTTCATTAATTTGACCTTGACATTTAAGGTCAATTAAAGATCAAGGTCACGTCTAAATTACAAAACATGTTTGTTTGGTTGCTTGTCTTCTTTGTACAAAGTATAAATCATATCCAAACATAAATAAAAACTAGAAATGTGTCATCATGCCACGGATGCCCCCTCATGCAGCCAAAATTTCAGATGTTATAATATTTAGTTCAAATTTGTTTGCACAAATTAATTTTTTCATTTTAAGTTCAAAGCCCTTAAAACTTTTCAATGCTAACACAAACCATTTTTATACAATGCTGAAGGCACTGAAATTATTCAGTCTTAACCTTTTGTAAATTGCATATTGCATATTTGTAGCCAAAATAATGATTACATACATTTCCACAAAAGTATGAGTGCTGAAACTGAAAATTCAAAAATTTTCCAACATTCAGGAAAGATAAGATTATCCAAAATCATTGAACCACGACCAAATTCAAACTTAAACTGCTTATTCCTAAGATGTATCTATATGTTAAATTTGAGTTGAATGTGTACAACCATTGGGGAGATAATGAATGGAAACTTCAAATTTCTGATTTTTTTTCAAAGTTCAAAAGGGATAACTCTGTCAGCTATAATCAAACCATGATCAAATTCGAAATTGATCAATGCATTCTTATGACATATCCATATCTTTAATTTGAGTTGAATATGTACAACTGTTGGGGAGATAATGAATGGGAACTGAAATTTCCTTTTTCCAAATTTTCCAAAGTTAAAGGGGCATAACTCATCAAGTCATGGCCAAATTTGAACTTGATCTAAATTTTCTCATGACATATTTATATTACAAGTTTCAGTTGAATGTGTTTTTCCGTTGGGGAGATAGTGAACGGAAACTGAAAATTTCATATAATTTTCAAAGTAAAAGGGGCATTACTATGCCAAAAATCATCGAACCGTGACCAAATTCGAAATTGACCTGTATTTTCTCATGACATATCCATATATCAAATTTGAGTTGAATGAGTGCAACCGTTACTAAGATAATGAATGTAAACTGATGATGATGGAATGACAGAATGCAGAAGGACGGAATGACGGAACAGGGTAACACTATATGCCTGGCCATTATATGGCGGGGGCATAAATATGACAAGTTAACCAAACTTCTATAATTTAAAGCTGCATGCCTCCAGATGAGCCAAAATATTTCAATAAAATCAACAAATGCACGATTTTAGAAAAAGTTTAATATTAAAGCTTCAAGTATTATTGACATGTTATTTGCATTTAATGGCTTTGCCTTTTTAGTATTTATATCTTTATTTTGTACTGTGTTACTAATGCAGTAAGCGCTATTTTTGCATAATTTGACCTCTTTTTGGTCATAATTGTGCTTTGTAAGTGCCATTGATAATGTGCAGAATGCTTCCACAATATTACTCTTAAAAATTAATTTTCAAATTTTTCATGAAAATCAGCATGAATCTGGAGGAGTGATGCTTTAAGACTCAAATTCAAGGTTAGTTCAACTTTTAGAAAGGTTTTAACCAAAAGGATGTTTTGTCCAAGTATAAAGATAATCAATTTAATAATAACGAAGTTTCAGTCAATTTAAGAAATAATATATCCCAAACTGTGATTTTATTGCACAATAACATCACTGTTTGGAGTTCGGATGTGAGGAATTATATCACGAGGGCGTAGCCCGAGTGATATAATGATGCGCATCCGAACGACAGTGATTTTATCAAGCGAGAAAATCATCGATTTAGATTTATTATTTCAATTCCAACATGACATCAATAAATAATTGCTGAGAAAGCTGATATTAAGCTCAATTGCGCCTGATTTGTTTCCGTTCTTATTTCAGCGCGTCACATTTTTAATGGTTACGTCACGTGTATAATGATTACGTCACACGTCTAAATATAGAACGTCAAACAGTGATTTTATAACATAATAACACACACTTTCGGTTCTTCTATGTTCAATAGGGAAAATTGCGGGTCTTGTTAGAATATAGCATAAATTAGTTAAAATTCAATAATTTAACCATTAAGGTCAAGGTCATAATAGGTCATGGTCAATTCAAGTTAAAGATACATGAAGGTCTTATCATAAAGAATGCTGTGCCTTACTATGAAGTCAGTCCATTCATTAATTGAGTTACAACAAAAAACAGAGAAATTTCAATAATTAAACCTTATAGGTCAATGTCATTTATGAGTAAAGGTCAAGGTGTGTCTGCTTAACTTGAAGGTCTACCCTAACAGATTATCTTCAGTTATCACAAAATTCCAGTTCAAGCAAAGACTAAGCTCTATAGAATTCTGCAAAAGTATACAAATCTACAATAGTTTTCTATCAATGATCATAAAAAAACACTTGAAAACTTTAAATTATGCTTCAAACAAACTAAAAACTTAAAGATAATTTTGTTTTCCTGATTGAATCAAGGGTGTCACAAAATATAGGAAAGAGGCACTAATGGGAATTAAGTATTAGAATTAAAATAAATATTTTTGATTTCCTTAATGAGTAATATACATAATATAAATAACTTTCTATTCTAGGTTACATTATGGCTGTGCCTGGTAAAAAGGAATCTCAGAAACTGTCATCTACACTATCTCAAGGTGGTGCTGAAGATTTTGACATTTTCTGTGAACAATGTGACAGAGATGACATCAGACTACCTGCGTTTGGTTACTGCGTGGATTGTGAGGTACATTTATGTCAAACTTGCTTTAACACTCACAGACGACCAAAACCACTACGCCATCATCAGCTTCTAGACAAAGATCACATGCCAGATAAACAAAACATCCCTAAGTCATTAAAACCTACTTCTGGTGGAAAGACAGCTGATTTGACAAAGTCTTGTCCTAAACATACAAATGAAATTATCAAGTTTTTTTGTCATGACCATAACACACTTATATGTAGTGTTTGTGTAACCCTTCAACACACACCAACATCCTGCCACGTGGACTACATACCTGATTTATCAGGACAGATTTTAGACAGCACTGAGTTCAAAGAAACTCTTAAAGATATTAACAAAATTAACAGACAAATGCTGCCAGATTACAAAAGATTTTTAAAACAAAGAGTTGACAATCAACAATTTCTCTTAAAGATGGCTATAGTAGAAATAGAAAAACTTTAGAAAAAGAGATAAACAAAAAGATTAGATGAACTAGAAAAGGAAGTTAAAGAGACTTGCAACAAAAATCGAACATGAAAATCAAAGAAAGTTAAAAACAACAGAAACAATGTGTGATGACATCAACAAATCACTCCAAGCATCAGCTGATACTCTAAAACATCTCAACACCAACAAGAAAACTGACCAATTATTTACTGAAATGAAAATAGCTCAGCAATTGATATTACACAATGAAAATATAACAAAACAACTACCAACAACTAATGATGTTGATGAATACAATTTTGAATCAAATCATGCAATCAAAAAAACTCCTTCAGAATGAGAAAATCATTGGGGACATTGAGAAAAAAGGAGCTGAAGCAACCGGCTGAACCAATAAATAAGGCTCCAGTACCAATGAAAATATCTACCCCTCGAAACATCAATGTTAAAACATCCTCAGATGAAGATGAAGATGATTGCTGGATTACTGGTATGACTGTCTCTCCCCAGAACCAATTATTTGTAGCAGATTATGAAAATGACTCAATTAAAATGATAGACATAAAAAGTGGAGCAATCAAACAACTACAGCTTGAATCATACCCCTGGGATATCACCGTAGTGACCAAAGATACACTTGCTCTTACATTACCAAACATTTACACAATACAATTCATTTCCTTCTCCTCAAACTCTCTCTCATTGAAAAACAAACTGAAAGTAGACGGAGAGTGCCGTGGAATAAGCCATCATCAGGGGAAACTTGCAGTTACCTTTGTATCTCCTGCTAAACTCCAAATCATGGACTTGAAAGGTAATATTAAAATTACAGTTGAAAAAGACTCCAATGGCGACAGTATTTTAAATAGACCTTGGTATGTCACCACAAACAGTCATTCAATCTATGGTGTCTGATAACGGACAAAACAGAAATCATATGGTTAATTGGCAGGGAGAGATGATAGGAAGAAATGTAGACATTAAAAAAAAAAGGGTATTTCACTGTTAGATGACGGGTCCTTCTTTGTAATTGATGATGGACTAAAATTGTATATATAGAGTAAGTGGTGATTTAAAGACAAAAGACAAATCTATACTGGAGAATGTAGAGGATCCTTATGCTGTATGTTGGTGTGCTGAGACCAGTACACTTTGTTTAAGTACACACAGCAACACAGAGAGTGACAATAATATCAAAATGTATAAAATGATGTAGAACCAAGCAATGGTAATCAATGCAGACATAACAAAACATATTTATCATTACTTAAAGTTGTAATAATACACTCATAAGCATTTCTTATGTAGTATATGTGCTAAATAGAAAAATTATATTTGTGTAGTTTCATTACTAATTTATCAAACTCCTTCAATGAAATAATATTATGCTTGTCAGAGGCTTGTATGATATAAATATTTCATTCAACTTCATTATTTAACTTAAATGTACACTAATTCAATCACCTCTATATATTCTCAATACACATGCCATCTATGCAATATCATAAATTAAATTTTATACTAAACATTTCTAAAGACTTTAAATCCATCTATATATAATACAATATAAATCAGTAAAGATTATAATAACAAACATTTGTTTAATTACACCTCTCCGGCAGACCTGGGGTAATCATTAATTGTAATCCATTGATTTTTAATTGATTACATGATTACACTGTAAATCATCATGTGTAATTTTTTATTAACCTTTGCCACAAAAAACTTGATTAATTTAATTGTAGCAATAATCAAATTTACAAGCTAAAATTCAGTCAGTTTAATTATGATTACAATTTGATTGGTACATTGATTACTTTTTCAGGATTTAACAGCGAAACTATTTCAATTCAAAGGATGCCTTTATTTCTACATGACTGATATACAGTTTAAACTTTTGATTTAACATTTATAAAGTAAAAGTCCTTAATTAAAAACCATCATCTGGGCTGGACCCCAAATGTGGTCTTAATTGTGGGTTGGTCTTAATTGCAAAAATATTCTTTCCATTGCTTACATTCTTTATGACCATTGGTCTGCTTTAGTTATTTAAATCACCTATGAAATAAAAATTATATTCTTCACAAAATGAATTTTGCTGAAAACTCTAAATTTTACCTTCTCACCTTATTTCATACAATAACCCAATAATAACAGTTTTTCACACCTTGTAGAAATTAAGTTGTCATGCAAAGCATTCAAGCAGATCATAAACAAACAAATTTAAAGAATCTAGATAAGTAGTATGACTTTAATGTTACAATTTCTCAACATGACAAATTAGTGTGGTCATAATTAGTAAAATAATGTAAAATAATAATCAACTGAAATCAGGAGTGGTTCTTAAGAGTGAATAAGCGGTTTTGTTCTTTAATTCAGTCTCAATGTAATCATTGACATGAAGAAACCTGTAAACAAAAAGTACCTTATTAAAAAGGGGTGGTTCTTAATAGGAGATTCTCCTTTACTAGTAGAAATGTAAATCAATTATCGAATCAACTTACCCTCTCTAAAATTATTGTTAAAATTCAATTGATACAGTAATTGGGCAAGTCTGAGTAATAATTAATAATCAATTCAAGTAGAAATCTGAAAGTAAAGTTGTAAATAAATCAATATACCTGATCAACATGTAATCCCCCCAGTCTGCGACTCCGTTTCCACAAAATCCATGCATGGATAATACCAAATTATATTCAATTTACTAAAGACGACGATCCAATTTTATATAGTGTAACTACATACTATCAATGTAAGCTTATTATCGAAGGTTGTTTTGCCATATCAAAACCCTTGTCTTAATAGGAATTGGGTCTTGTATACGCATTTGGAGAAATTTCACTGGTTGCTCAGATATACCAGTCACAATATTTAAACTATATGTACACCAACCTTGAAGCGAATAACACAACCAGGACAGATGAGAGAAAGCATGTCACTGCCTACAAAAAAATGGCAATTTAGCAAAAAGAGTAAAACATTAAAAGAATGCATTGCTAATATTCTATGACTATCAAAGCTGGCCCACAACAAACATACTTCATAAAATGGTGTGTGAAAGCTTACAATATGATTATGTACTCAATTACGTTATTTTGTTTCTTTTCTTTCCATGTTGTTAAAATATCCTCGGAAAACGATGTTTAACTTCTGAACTCTGCAATAAAGAATGATTCACAAAATGACTTTATACTATAGTGCTTTAAAAACATGTTTTTTAAATCTGTTGTTGGATTACTAATGTCTAAATATAAATTATGGTATATTATGTATATGTTATGAATATGCAACTAACTCTTCCAACTAAGATAATTCATTTTTTATTTACTTGAGAATGACTTGAAAATATATAAAGAAAGATAATGGCAAAAACCAGGTTTTCAAAAAAGCAGGGGTCCAAAACGCTACAACAGTGAAAATTACATTTTGCTGTATTTAACAGATGTCGTAATGACAAAGTTCTCTTACTGTAATTATATTATACATAATATGTTTAGAGTGATAAATAGTTTTTGTCTATGTGGAATAAATTAGAACTGCAAAATGATTAAGCATAAGTAAAACGGTGAGTGTTATTTCTTAGTTATATGATATTCTCGCCACACAGTGCCCAAGTATTGGCAGTACGTCCAGAAGAGTACTTAGTCAATTATATTTTGGAGGATAGTGCAAAGATAACAGAAAAATGGGTAGGGTCATACCCCTCAATTTTTTATTTCTCCTAAAAGAATAATTAGCCTATTTCTTTCTTCTGGGAGGGAATTTTCTTAACTTTCCATACGAGTTCAAGCACATACTTCCGGGACCTCGATTTAAAAGTCTCACAAAGCACTGGATAGTATAAATTTTAGTTGGCCAGGCACTGGGAATACGAACCCACATGTTGAGACTTACAAAGTCTCGTCGGCTACTAACCGAATTGAAGGCTCTATGGATATATATCGGAAATATTTAAATGCGTTTATCTTTTAAATCAAAAATTGAAACTGAATACTAGATGTTAAATGTTTATATCTCAATAGTAAAATAAATTATACTTGTTGCAATATAATGCAGTTATATTGGCAAACATAGGAATTATGTTCAATGCAAAATCTGTAATCATAAAATACATCACATTTAAACATGTTAGTTAAAAGTCTGAAAAAAATTCCCTGAATGTCCATAACCTGCGCCAAATATATATAAAGTTTCTGCATCCCTTATTTGTATTGATGTAGTATCTAAAAGCACAGCTTGATTAAACTCCCCCCAAAAACCCATAATTTTGTAAACATGAAGCTAAAACCCCTGTTTTGCTGGGAACTGTATAATAGACAAGAACTGTGATCCCATTAAAGATCCTGTAAACCTAATTTTCTACGGATTTAATAATCCATAATAATTTTGTCCATGCAAATAAAGCATTTAATTACCCCCAATATGTAAGTTTCTCAAAAAAGTCCATTTTTGTAAAGAGGTTTACCAATTTTACATATCTCATGCTATAACACAAAGGGAGTGTAAATAAGAATAATCTACTGCTTTCTAGCAATATAACGTCCTAAGTCCAAATTTTTCCCAATAAGTAAACTGAATGCAATATTTTAAATAATGTTCACAGTGAATCCCCATAAGCTGATTAGTGGTGTTGGGGAGAGTCCATCTACGGATACTCGAGGAATGTTCCCTGGGCAATCATTTATAGTACAAATGTGCCAAACACAAGGGTTTCTCTCAATTTTTAATATGCATGCACTTTTAAGCAAGAGTTGAGAAGGAAAAACCAAAAAAATTATGAGTTCTCAATGGAAGCATCATCCAACAAGGTTTTTTGTTTGTTTTGAGACAGCTGAAAAAACTGTAATGCCCGTAATCTTGGATTTTTTTCTTCATTTTATTAATGAAATATTACCTTTATCATGTAACCCACATTGTTAATATTTTTATTCATATTATTTGTTCTTTATTTTATACTCGTTATCTAGTTATAATAGCCATCAAGTAAAGAAAACCCCTGAATTTTAAACGATTAT